TACCTCCTCCTTTTGCTCCAGAATTCTGTATGTCACACAATGGGTATGAATCAATACCTCTTTCCTGCCTGCACTACACTATAGATTAAAAAAATGTTTGACCCTCTCATGCTTTGTAGGTTACTGCTGGCTTGTGAAGCTGTCCTTGAGGTTTTATAATGGCCCACTTAAGAGATCAGAATCAATGATCTAGAGAAGGCCATTCATTCACCAAGATTCATTAAGTTCTTTCAGTTTGTCGGGTACTGTGCCAGAAAAACAAGAGATGAAGACAAGGTCTCTGTTCTCAGTCCAGTAATCTCCTTGATAAGATCAAGTTAATAAGTAAAATCATTGTATCATTCTGTTTATATTTTTATGTTTATTTTATATTAGTGCATTTCCATTCTTAGTTACAAGGTTTCCTTGTCCTCTAGAGTGCACAGGTAGTCTCCTAGGTTTATTTTTTGAGGATTACTATTATTACCAAAATTTAAGTCATTTCCACATCTGGAATTCATTTTATAAATAGCTTGAAAATTTTGTTCCAAATTTAATTTCCTTCAGATTGTTCAACAATTTTTCCAGTAACAGATTGTTAACCATCCTTTTTTCATTTAATTGAACAAAATAGTCGTCACTTATTACATTTTTATATACAGTGAGCCCTATTTCTGGATTCCCTGGTCTGTTTCACTTATATGTTTGTCTATTCCAATTATATTACCAAAGCAAACTGATTTGCTTCTAGAACCTTTAAAGTATATTCTGATATCTGGCGAGGCAAGTACTCCCTTACTAGTCTTTTTCTGCAAAATTTTAGTCTTGTGCATTTATTATTCTACATAAACATTAAGAGAGTTTGGGATTCTTAATTGGATATTGTTTGAATTTCTACTGAAATTTCATTAAAGTTATAAATTAACTTTAAGAAAATGAACATTTTATTTTTATTTTTATTTTTATTTTTTTTATCCTCACCCGAGGACATTTTTCCATTTTTTGTACAGATAGAGTGGGAGGGAGAGAGAGAGAGAAACATCGACGTGAAGGGACACATCGAGTGGCTGCCACCCACACGACCAAACAGGGCCAGGGACAAACTGCAACCGAAATACGTGCCCTTAGTGGGAACCGAACCCGGATCTCTCCGGACCGCAGGCCGACGCTCTAACCGCTGAGCCAAACTGGCCAGGGCAAGAAAATGAACATTTTAATGATATTTTCTTATCCAAAGATGTATGTAAATGGTTAACACATACATAAAAAAATACTCAACATCATTAATCATTAGGTACAGTGATACCTCGGTTCTCGAACATAATTCGTTCCAGGAGGACGGTCGAGAACCGAATTGTTCGAGAACCGAAGCAATGAAAGCGTGACTCCACACAGCGTGACTCTCTCTCTGCACTCACACTGAGGACGCAAGCAAGGCGCGCTGGGCCGAATGAACGCCATTCGGCTCAACTCGGCTCATCTCGGAAGTTCGAGTTCCAAATATTTGTTCGGATTCCGAGACAAAAGTTTCTCGAATCTCCTGGTCGAATACCGATTTGGTCGAAAACCGAGGCGTTCGAGAACCGAGGTATCACTGTAAATGCAAATCAAAACCACACTGAAATACCACTTTACACTCCCTAGAATGGATTTTTTTTTTTAAAGGACGAAAGGGTTGGCAAGGATGCGAAGAAATTGGAACCCTCATACATTGCTGGTGGGAATATTGCTGGTGGAAAACAGTCTGGGAGTTCCTCAAATAGCTAAACACAGAATTATGCAGTGAGCTGACAATTCCACTCCTATATAGCATAGCCCCAAATAACTGAAAACAGGTAATCAAAGAATTACGTGCACACAAATTTTCATAGCAGCCTGTTCACAGTAGCCAAAAAGTAGCCTGGCTGGTGTGGCTCAGTGGCTGCGCATTGACCCAGGCACCAAGAGGTTGCTGGTTTGATTCCTGGTCAGGGCACATGCCCAGGTTGTGGGCCAAATACCCAGCGGGGGTGGTGGTGGTGGTGGTGCATGCAGGAGGCGGCCAATCGATGTTCTCTCTCATTGATGTTTCTTTCTCTCTCTCCCTTTCCCTTCCTCTGTATAAAATCGTTTGAAAAAGAAAATGTTTTTTAAGTAGAAACAATCCAAATATCCATCAGTTGATGAAAGAATAAACAAAATTGTTATGTAAACAAAATGGAAACTTTTTTAGTTATAAAAAAGGAATGAAGTACTGATACATACTACAATGTGGATGAACCCTGAAAATGTTATACTAAATCAAAGAAGCCAGACACAAATAGTCTCACATTGTGTAATTCCATTTGTATGAATTATCCAAAACAGATAAATCCACAGAGACAGAGAGCACGGTGGTGTTGGCCAGAGGCCAGTGGAAGGAGAGAATAGGTAGTGATTTCTTAACAGGTATGTTTCCTTTTGAATGTACTAATGCCACCCAGTTGTACCCTTAAATACGTTTAATGGGTAATCTCATATTATTTTAATATTACCTCAATTTGTAAAATATATCCTATTTACCTATGTTAGTTTCCTATTGCTGCATAAGTTACCACAAACTTAATGGCATTTAAAAAAAAAAAAAAAGCATAACAATAATTTAGCTCGCTGTTCTGTAGATCAGAAGTCTAGGTGGGCTTGGTTGGGTTCTCTACTTAGGGTTTCCCAGGAAGAAATGACGGTGTTGGCCAGGCTGGGCTCTTTTCTGGAAGCTCTGAGGAAGAATCTACTTCCAAACTCCCTCAGGTTGTTAGCACAATTCAGTTCCTTGTGATTTAGGACTGAAATCCCCGATTCCTTGCTGCCTATCAGCCAAGAATCAGTCTCAACTGCTACAGGGCGCCACATCCCTGGCTTGTAGCCCCGCACAGCACCAGCACACACAGTCTTTCTCATTCTTCAAACATCTCCAACTTCTGCTACCAAAAGAAAATCCACTGCTTTTAAAGGGTTGGTGTGATTAGATGGGGTCCACCTAGATGTTCTCTTTCATCATTTAATGCAACAATCACAGTTGTATAATCTCATCAAACCGGGCTCTACCCCATATTCAAAGAGGTTGGATTATATAAGGGCTCAAGGATCAGTCTTAGAATTCTGCCTACCTTGACCTCTTGGTGAAAACAGTTTCTACCCAACTCAAGAACAATTAATTGTCGATGCCCAACACTGCAAAGGAGATTTGAGGGGCCCAAGTAAAAAGTTTCAGAATCAGTGATTCACAGGTGAACACAACTTAGGGCTGCAAGTCTCAGGCAAGGCACGGTAAGTGGCCTTCTCTTTCTGAGGCTACTCCTGGTTTTCTTTCTTTCTTTCTTCTCTTCTAGTAAATCACTGAATGTTAATGCAAAGCTGTTGCCAAGAGGACCACTGATGTCCTCTCTGTAGTCATGATGAGGGGACTACATAACTGTATTATGTGCATTGGAAGTCCTCACTTTTTAGTCTTCAAACTCTTATTTTTGAGGACCCTAAATACTCTATTTTTGTGGGTTATGGCTGTTGATAAATGCCATATTACAAATAAAGTTGGGAAAGTTTTTAGACACAAAAAATATACAAGCACACACTCTCTTAGCCTTCAGAGTGATGATGTCATCACACAGCACATGGTCTCTAGTGGAAAGGTAAATTCTTAGTATTATTATGAAAGTAGTTTGACCTCAAGGAGCTCTGAAAAGGTCCAAAGGACCCCTAGGACTTCCTGGACCACACTCTGAGACTCACGGACAGATATAAATACCAAACATTGCATTTCTTCAGAGATTAATCAACTCATATATTTTGGTGCATTCACTTGTACAGCCTTAGTACCATCCTTCTTCTGTTTTAGTAGTATTGTTCACCTGGGTGACTCGTTTTTATGTGGCTGATTGCAAAAAGCATCAGTTCTGCAAAAAGTGTCATTTGCTTATGCAAGAGGAAATTTGAGCTAGAAGGGTCGTAGCCTACATTAAAGCGAAATAGAGTTCAAAAACGTCTTCTGTGAGCTTCTGGCAGGACCTGTTATGATGCAAATGCTGCACAGAGAAAACTGCTTTAGTACAGCTTGGTCTGCAGTGGAAGGACTGGGAAGGAGGCAGTCTGTGGGTCAAGCAGAAAGAGGCTTACAGAGTGAAAGGAAGCACTGGGACTTCTTGTCATGCTCTGCCCTTGAAAACTATGCCAAGTCTTTTTTTTTTTTTTTTTTTTTTTTTAACGAACAAATAAGCTAGTACTTCACGACTGCTTTAACGACTCAGAATTTCCCACTTTCCTTTTAAACACAGGCTATAGCATTCAGTTCGGTTTGTTCCCTCTGCATCCTGCTTGCAAAAAGTGACCCGACAGAGCCAACTCCATTCGCCCGGCCACTCCATGAAGGTCCTTCTGTTCCTTCTTCCCACGGTCGTTTACGGACTCGCTTCCGTTCGGTGTCCTGGTACACGCTCCGGGGCTCCCAGCGTCTCTGCGGCCGCGGAACGCAGAGCAAAACCCGGAGCGGCGGGGGACAGGTTGGGCCCCCCGCCCCCCGGGTTCCTCTCCGTCGGGCCTTGTGCCCTCAGTCGCCGGGGAAGGAGCATCCGAATGGACGTTCAGAGGGAGAAGTGAGACGGCGGCGCCTTCCTTTCGGTGGGGACTCGACGCCCACGGAGCGGGACTGAGCCCACCGCGGCCGCAGCGGACGGCCGTGCGCCCGACCGGCGCCGCCGCCAGCCCCGCGTTCCCACCGCGTCCGAGCTCAGCCGGCGCCGCAGCCCGCAGAGGTCAGCGGTCTGACGCGCCGCCGCCGACCAATGGGAGCGAAGCCTGACTCCCAGGGTCGCCTGTGACTGGCTGGCCGCTGGAGGCGGCGGCGGGGGGGCGGGCCTGGGGGCGGGCCTGCTTTTCGGCTGCGCCTCGCGCGACCGCACTCCAGACCCTCGGCGCGGAGGACGCGGCGCGGAGCGGCCGAGCTGCGCCGAGAGGAGGCGCCACGCGGGCGGCCCGGTGCCGGCGCTGGGGTCGCGTCCGGACCTCGCTGCAGTAGGCGGAGGTGGGAAGAGAGGAGTTGGGGGCCGGGCCGGGTCCCCGCCCCTCGCGCTCCGGATGGATGTGCCCGGCCCGGTGTCCCGGCGCGCGGCGGCGGCGGCGGCCACCATGCTCCTGCGCACGGCTCGGGTGCCCCGCGAGGGCTGGCTCTTGCCCACCGCGCTGCTCTGCGCCTATGGCTTCTTTGCCAGCCTCAGGCCGTCCGAGCCCTTCCTGACGCCCTACCTGCTGGGGCCCGACAAGAACCTGACGGAGCGGGAGGTAGGCGCGGGGGCGGGCGGCGGCGGGTGTGCGGGGGCGGCGGCCGGGGAGGGGGGAGGGGGCCGGCGCGCGCGCCCCGGTGCGCAGACCTGTGACCGGCCCCGCGGGAAGGCGGCCCCGTGCGGGGCGCCGCGTGCACTCGGGCTGGGCCGGTCCGCTGGATTTATGGGGCGCGCCTTCTGCGAAGGGGAGCCCCGGAGCGCCTGTGCTCCAGGCTGGCGGTACTGTCTTGGTAGCGTTAACCCTACTCTGCCCGGACCGGCCCCGCCGTTCCTGCTGGGGGCCGAGGGAGGTGGAGGGGCAAGGGGGATGTGTTTGGATAAAAAAGGGAAAACAACAGGCTCTATTTGGGACTTGGTAAAGGCCGAGTAAATATTTGTTGATTGAATGTGGGGAACCAGAGGCTGGGGAACCCCCGCTTTTCTGAAAGGATTCCCCCTCCCGCTATGACACCCCTTTTCCTTCTCATGCATGACTTTGTTTACCTTTGCCGAGAGGGATGTGCTCAAAGGAGGACAGTGCAGGACAAGAACCCGTCGTCTGGACTTGATTTGATTCTTAGTTGGATGAGGTGGTGTCCGTGTTCAAGGATATGCCGCCCTCCCACCCCCACCCCTCCTCCTGGGATAAAAGCAGATACTTAGATGGTATCAGAGAGTTGGCCCTTAATTATAGCTTTTCCTGCATTGTGGACTGTTGCTTCACAGATGTTAGTTTTGGTTCTCAACTGCATAGTGACATCTTGCAAAATTTCTGTCCCTCTGTGATGTTCAGAGTAATTGAGAGCCCGGCAGTCTGTGATCAAGAACGTCTTGCTGGTTCATTTTCCCTGGATGAGGGTTTATAAGGCACTGTGTATTTTAAAAATGCGTTTAACTCTTAGAGCTTTTGGTCAGTCTCAACACTTGCATGTTGAAGAAGACAGACGTTATATTATCTGAAAAAGGAACTAAACTCAGGGTGTCCCCCCCAAACCAGAATAAAGAAGGCTCCACATCATCTTCCTTGAGCAAGCTGAGCTCTGGTGGTCCTTTCTGGGACACTACAAAGGGTGGAAGCCCAGGGGGTGCTTGTTAGCGGGCCCTCTTGTCCCTGCTCACTTTTCCCCCCAGGTGCTCTGACATGCTCCTCCTGTCTACACCTTACTCTTCTCCCTGCGATTAGTCACCTCTTCTGAGTAGCAACTCAGTATCCCAGCATAACAGGTCAGAGCAGGTTGTAATTATTCATAATCCACTTGGTTGTTGCATTGCCCCCTCCATCTTCAAGGTCACCTAACAGGGCATTGAAAGTTGGGTGTTGAATCTTGGATTGAGGTTTCATTTGAGTTCCTCATATGGTCTCATCTCTAGCAAGTTTCACTGACTTACCCTACTTTGAATCGATTTCTCGGTCTTATGCCCCACTCCACAAAGGGACTGCAACAGTTCCTCATTACGTATTTGAATTTTAATGTTGGTAATAAAATGGAAAGGGCCAATTCCTGTGAACAGAATGATTTTTATAAGAAGAAAATTACTGCAATAAATATGAGAATGATCCTGGACACCCAATACAACCACTGGATCAGAGGTGTAGCCACCGGAGCAGAAGGGTACTGCCGGTGAGCTGCTCACAATTAAAGTTTCATGTGAACTGCCATGTGATCAGCGTGCACCTTGCCTGAGCAAGGAGTGCAAAGGGGAGAAACATTCCCCCAGTGTTGATGTTTGAAAGCTGATCTGTTCTGTCACATGCCCTGGGTAGCACTGCTGTGGATGTCCCATGACGTACCCTGTCTTACCAGAAAGCTTTCTAGGGCGAGTGAAGTATGTTCCGGGGCACAGGCATAAAGCAGGGGTGCCGGGTCCAAGAAACATTGCTGATTGTGTAACAGAACCGTAGCACGCTTCTGTTACTGCAGATTAAACGAGGAAGAGGCAGGGTTTGAAGTGTTTGGAAAAGGTATCGCTGTCTCTGAACACTGGAAGTAGGGCTGAGTCTGTTGGTTGTGTGCAGTGTGGCTCTGCTCACCCTCTCCAGAACCCTAGATGTTTCAAAAAAAATCTAATGATCGAAATAGAACAATTTGTCCTTCTTCCTGAGTGTTTGTTTTCACCAATGGACAGTGAAATTAAAAAAATGTGACATAATTTTTAGGCAAAGTGAATGCTTAATCATGGTCAGTGATGTCTGTGTTGAAGTCTGTATTTCCCCCGTGAAGACTTCAGAAGAGCCAAGTTGTATCATCTTAAATAGAACTATTGTTAACCATGTCCCAAGACAAAAGGAGGAAAGGAAGGGTAGACTCTTCAAGGATTTTTTCTTAGATTTCAGGAAAATGTTAACCTCTTTTAGGTACCACTTCATAACTTTTAAACAGGTTGAGATTTGACAGCATCTCAATAGTGGAAAACCAAACATTTAATAAAATAGAGCTCTTTATCTCCCAAATACTTTATCCTTTCATCTTCTTAGCATGAGATTTGACAGACATTCACTACCTTTCTTTGATTCTCTTAAAACACATTCCTCCTACTCTGCCTGATACTCAGAGCCTTACAGAATCTGCTCTTACCTGTGTAACAGCCTCATTCCCCACCACCTGCACCCTTCCACCCCTTGCCCTTCTTCCACGTTCCAGACTCCCTCCACATTCATCTTAGAGCCTTAAGCCCAGTGTAGCCACAGTCTCATCTACTGGTCTGTACTCAAGGATGAGATCTCAGCGTGGAGTAATCATTCCCTTCGTATCTGTTGCTACAGTGTCTTTCTGTTAGCCTCCAACTTCTTCATCCTTCAGGGTCCATATCACAGAAGCAGCCCCCTGTTTCCTGTCTCACTGATCAGTAATGTGTACATGTGTATTCCTCACTCGGTTCAGAACTCTTGGAGGCTTCATTTTCACTTTGTTTTGTTTTGGAATCTCTGGACAGCTTGAAAACAGTGTTGTGCAAAGAAGTGCTTATTAAGTAGTTTTCTCATTGAACTTGATTCTAAAATAAAGTCTAAATCTGAATCAGAAATTAAAATGGAACATTTGTTTCCTCTTGACTTTTCTGTCTCAGAGGAAAGCCACACACAAGTTCTGATCCAAAGAGTTGTAAAAAGTACCTATCTTAGAGTAAAATCGGTTCCTTTTGCTCACATGGCAGATATTTTATTCTATTTTATTTTATCCTCACCCAAGGACATTTATCCATATTTTGTTCAGATAGAGTGGGAGGGGGAGAGAGGGAGGGAGAAAGAGAGAGAGAGAGAGAGAGAGAGAGAGAGAGAGAGAGAGAGAAACATTAACGTGAAAGGGACACATCGAGTGGCTGCCACCCGCACGACCAACCAGGGCCGGGGACAAACTGCAACCGAGGTACGTGCCCTTACCGGGAACCGAACCCGCGTCTCTCAGGACCACAGGTTGATGCTGTAACCGCTGAGCCAAACTGGCCAGGGCTCATATGGCAGATTTTATCTGAGATATAAGGTATTGCCCAGAGTCTGGACAATAGAGTCTGTAATTTTGTCCATTTCTGCATCTAGGAAGTTTCCCATCAAAACTCAAAGAATTCATCCAAGAAGCATTTTCTTTGTTACAGCTTCCCCTTAGAGGCATTGAGGAAGAAGGGATCCTTTTTTGGAGACCCAATGGGTAATCTCTGGAGATGTGGTCTTTATCTCTTCATGAATGTCCTATTAAAGCACCTCAATGCAAGTTGAAAATGTTGCTGCAGCCCTGGCCAGTGTGGCTCAGTTGGTTGGAGTGTTGGCCCGTGCACTAGAAGGTCATGGGTTATTAAGTAGTTCAGTTCCTGGTCAGGGCACTTATCTAGGTTGCTGTTTCAATCCCTGGTTGGGGCACATATGAGAGGCAACCTATCGATGTGTCTCTCTCACACTGATGTTTCTCTCTTTCTCTCTCTCTCTCTCCCCCCTCCTTCCTTCCCTCCCTCAATTGAAAAAAAAAAAAGAAGAAGAAAAAAAAAAGGCTGCTACAGGCATTAGAAGTAACCCTGGAAACACAGAAGATGATTAGATAATAACAAATTCTGATTAAAGAAATGAGGCATTGAAGTGTGGTGGATTCAGAATACTTAGGTTCAGTTCCTTCCTCTGCCAGTTACTAGCTGTGATAACTTGGGACAGTTTACTTAACTTTTCTCTGAGGCCAAGTTTCCTCGGCTGTAAAATGGGGATGACATGTAGAATGGGGGTTTTCGTTTGGATTAAACGGGGTCATGCAGGTGAGGTGAAGTGCCTGGCTCCTCCGTGGAGATTTGCTGTTGTGGTGCTGGTCACGCTGGGAGAGGGACGTTCGTCTCGGGTGGATCCTCTCTCATAGGAGAAGAGTCTGCTTTCTTATGTAGATAAGCTAAGGAGAAGCCCTCTGGCCCCCACCTGCTTGCCTTTGTTTCCTGCTGGCATTGCAGGTCGGGCAGTGCCACTTCCCTCATCTCGTGGTGGACCTCACTGTAGTTCTGTATTGGGAGTGGAACAGACTTGTCAGTATAGACACGTTATTTATTTATCCTCATCCGAGGACATTTTTCCATTTTTTGTTCAGATAGAGTGGGAGGGAGGGAGAGAGAGAAAAACATCGACGTGAAAGGGACACATCGAGTGGCTGCCACCCGCACAACCCAGCCAGGGCCGGGGACAAACTGCAACCGAGGTACGCGCCCTTCGCGGGAACCGAACCCGGGTCTCTCTGGACCGCAGGCCAACGCTCTAACCGCTGAGCCAAACCGGCCAGGGCTAAGTATAAACACTTTAAATTGGTAGTTAAAAGGGTGAGGTTTATGTAATGAAAACTGGGCAGTTAATCGTTTTGAGACAACTATTATTAAAAGGTATATAACATGTCTCAGTACAGACCATGTTACTAGAGTGAAGAAGTCAGTTCAAGTCCAGGTGGGATGTGGGGGGGAGCGTGGAAAACAAAAGAAGATGGGGTACTGAAGGAGGCGGAGGGTATTTTAAAGGAAAGGAGTAACGGCAGATGGCTGTGTGGTGCTGTGCTGGGGAAACAGACCAGGGGGGCACTTTCCAACGCAAGAGAACTGTGGGGGAGTCTCTGTCACTACAGGCAGAGGAGGAGCTGGACCAACTGTGCGAAGTCTGGGGGGAAGCCTTTGCTCTCCCGGCCTCCGTCCAGGGCCCCCTTCGCCCCTCTTTTCTGCTGAGAGGCATCTTGGGCCGGGGTGGAGCCAGCCAAGTGCGCTTTGTTCCTCGTCTGCTAAAATGACCACGCTTCTGAATAAGCATCATTTCTGCATTTCTTGATTGTTCTTTCATGCACACGTTCAGGTTCAAGAACATTTGCTGATCAAGTGGAGGTTGCTAAATGACTTACAAACACAAAATAGAACAAAACTCATGGAGGCAAGAGGCCATTAGACAAAGCACTTTTGGTATTCGGCCAGTCCGAAACAGAAATCAAGTCTGGAATGTATTTCTGATTATGGTTGATGGTTGTGCTTTGCACTAGCAAAAGATTTTACAGTAATTGTCTACTTTACCATTCCTCTAAAACCTTAAAGCAGTGAGCCCATTTTATACTTAGGTGAACTGAGGTACACGTAAGAGTTCAAAAGAAAATCGCCACGAACTTAGATTGGCAAAGTCAGGGCGTACAGTGCTGCATTGTAAAGTATTTAGCCTGTTACCAGGACTTAAAAATTGGGGCCACTGATGAAGAATTTGAAATTAAAAACTGACTGGTCTCACCCTGGCTGGTTTTGCTCAGCGGTTGGATCGTCCGCCCGCAGACAGAAGAGTCGCGGGTTCAGTTCTGGTCAAGGGCATGTGCCTGGGTTGCACGTCGGTCCCGGCCTCAGTTGGGCTTGCGTGGGAGGCGCCAGTTGATGTGTCTCTCTTGCATCGATGTTCTCCCCCCACCCCCATCTGAAGATAAATGGAAAAGTGTCCTCGGGTAAGGATAAAAAACCAAAAACTGACCTTGCTAGACATTGGGAACATACAAGAGGAAGGAAAAGTCTCCTACAGTGATTGTTATTGAAAGAATGGGAATGACAGTTCAGTTAATTTAGCTAATTCATGTTGTTCCAAGTGACCTGTATGTTCACATCAGTCGTCAAGTCTTCAGGCCTCTGAATAAAGTGGATAGGTGATCTACACACATTCTCTCATTTAATCCTTGTAGCAAATAGCCCTGCGGTGTAGGTCTTATCCTTCTTTTACTGATAATGGAGATCGAGTCTCACAGGAACTGAAGGAAACTTGCCCAGGATCACACAGCAAATGACAAAACAAATTCTAGCTGGGGGTCTTAATGATCTAATGCTTATTTTAAAGATGATTAATATTATATCTCAATTTTTAAAAATACATTAAAAAATAAACAGCCAACACTGTTACTGTTTTCAAGCAAAAAGAAGGACATCAAAGTTGCCCATATCTGTGCCCATCCACAGATCATTCTGTCAAGATTGTAAACAGATTTACCCTTTTATTCCTGGACTCTCAGAGAAATCAGGTCAGTCCTACTCAGTCAAGTAGGAGCAAAGCTCCCTGCCCTGTGCCTAGAAGAATTGACTAGGATTCCAAGACATTTATTTGTTTCCAAGACATTTATTGAGCCAAGTGTCTCCTAAACAGGATGCTGGCTGGTAGGTTGTGCAGACGAGTCCACCGTAAAGAACCTATAGGGCACTGGTTCTCAGCTCTGGCTCATGTTCAGGGTCCTGCAAGCTTTTTAAAAAATGCCTATGGCTGGGCATCCAGAATTCTGGATGCTTCTCGGGCAATGTGCAGCCATGGCTGAGAACCAGTGCCCTGAGATGCTGGGGAGGCGACATGCAGAGCCGTGGTGAGAGCTTGCAGTAGTAGGAAGACTGTCGGCTCCAGCAGAAGCCTCTGCCTAGGCCTTGCTGAATGGGGAGGATTTTAAGAAAAAGGTGATGTAGTGGAAATGGGGAAGTATATTCCCAACGGTTTTCAGAACTGTCGTGATTTCTTTGGTTGATAAGGATGAGGCATGTGAGGTGTTGGTAGGTTGTTTGATAAGAATAGATTGTTATGAATATTCCAGTCCTTGTCACTAATGGGTTTTCATCCTCCTTCGCCCGTCAGGTCTTCAATGAAATTTATCCAGTGTGGACTTACTCTTACCTGGTGCTGCTGTTTCCCGTGTTCCTCGCCACAGACTACCTCCGGTACAAACCCGTCGTTCTGCTGCAGGGGCTCAGCCTTATTGTCACGTGGTTCATGCTACTCTATGCCCAGGGACTGCTGGCCATTCAGTTCCTGGAATTCTTCTATGGCATGGCCACAGCCACTGAAATCGCCTACTATTCTTACATCTACAGTGTGGTGGACCTGAGCAGGTACCAGAAAGTCACAAGTTACAGCCGAACTGCCACCTTGGTGGGCTTCACAGTGGGCTCTGTCCTTGGACAGATCCTCGTCTCAGTGGCAGGTTGGTCCCTGTTCAGCCTGAATGTCATCTCTCTTACCTGTGTTTCTGTGGCTTTTGCCGTGGCCTGGTTTCTGCCTATGCCACAGAAGAGCCTGTTTTTTCATCACGTTCATTCCACCTGCCAGGGAGTGAATGGTATCAAGATACAAAACGGTGGTGTTGTGACTGACACCTCAGCTTCTAACCACCTTCCCGGGTGGGAAGACGTTGAGTCAAAAATTCCTCTGCATGTGGAAGAGCCTCCCATGGAGGAGCTGGTAAGCGCAGCTTAAATGCCTTGTGTTGCTACTCGGGGGGCCAGGCCCGCAGGGAGCGGACAGGTGGGAAGCCCGCGTATGCTGGACCTTGTGTGCGCGTGGATGCAGTTCTAGCCCGGGTTGGCCGGTTGGCTCATCTCTGCACTGATGCAAGCGAAGGTTGATTTAAATTAGGATGACAAATGTATTTTCCCCTGGAGTGAATGACCTTCAAGGTCAGACTGGCACAACATTCTGCTGCTTGGGTCAGAGATGTCTTAGAAGCCACAGCAAGGGCTGTCTCTTACTCATCTTTCACTCCTCAGATTTGGCATATAAATAAAGCACTCGGGAAGTTTTTGCTAAATGAATAGATGGAATGGTTCCAACGAATGATGAATATCTATTTCAAGTTTCTGACTTGAAGCCCACAACGTTTAAGGATAGGAATTACCATCTTCCTCTGTGCTGGACATGATACTTTGCTGAAGTGAGGCAGTAATGAATAATACAGAAGATAAGACCTGAAAGGAATATTTAAGAAGATGAAGTAAATATTATAAATGTGACTATGAATTTGTCTCTTAGAAGGGGTGTGGCATAAAAATAATTCACCCGTTCGTTCTTTCCAGCAGGAAGATTCACCCCTGCCCCCCAGTCAGTCACCCCTTTCCACAGAAGCTCATCTTCCCGCAGGTGATAAGCCATGAGCGCAGGACACATGCACACAGGGCAGGACACCTGCACACAGGGCAGGACACATGCACACAGCGCAGGACACCTGTACACAGGGCAGGACACCTGCACACAGAGCAGGACACATGCACACAGGGCAGGACTCATGCACATGTGCTGAGTCCGTCTTAGCTTCCTGAGCCGCGATTGTTAATGAGCCGGTAACATTCCACCTTTGTCGATGGGCTCTGTCCCCAAGCTCTGGAAGCTTTGTAGGCCAGCTGAGGGTACAGGACCAGCCTGAATAGAGTCTGGCTCTCCACGCGGAGTTAACCCAGATTGTTCCAACGTGGCGTCTCATTGTCCTCATTGAAAATCCCTCTCTTGCATTCCTTCATTCTTCACCTCTGGTTACTAGTTGAAATTCAGGTTATCAGGCCAAAGAGCTTGGGCCACACTCGAGCCTGGATGACACTTACCAAAAAACTCTGACTATGAGGGCACATGTGGGCAGCTTCTGCCAGGAACTAAGTAGAAACGAAACACCGATTCCTTCATTAAGTGATGTTGGAGAGTCAGCAAAGGGCTGATGAGGGAGAAAGAAGTTACGAGTAGCCATTTGATAGATCTCATGCAGCAGAGAAAAGGAATGAGAAGCTTTTTTTTTCATCCTCACCGGACATTTCTCCATTTCTTGTTCAGATAGAGTGGGAGGGAGAGAGAGAGAGAGAGAGAGAGAAACATTGACGTGAAAGGGACACATTGAGCGGTTGCCACCTGCATGAGCCATCCAGGGCCGGGGACAAACTGCACCCGAGGCACATGCCCTTAGTGGGAACCAAACCTGGGTCTCTCTGGACTGCAGGCCAACGCTCTAACCACTGAGCCAAACCGACCAGGGCAGAATAAGAACCTTTGTAAAAAATCTGTTTCAAATGTGTTAAACTGGCTTTAGCTAAGATCAGTATGTATATACATACCTTTAAAGCACATATATTTTAAGTCGTTGGCCATAGTTCTAAAGATTTTTATAGACCAGTAAATTTTAAACTTTTTTGAACATGAATAGGAAACTACTTAGTAAGAAACATTTTACACAGCAACCAGTACATAGGTGTATATACATATACTTTATATATAACTGAAACAGGTTTTTACAACACATTATTTTAATCTGACACATTCCCTTTAATTTATTTATTTTTATCCTCCCCCGAGGATATTTTTACATTTATCTTCACATACAGCGGGAGGGAGAGACGGAGAAAGAGAGAGAAACATCGATGTGATAGAGCCACATTGACAGGTTGCCACCTGCACAGCCCCAACCGGGGCTGGGGACGACCACAACTGAGGTACATGCCCTTGGCTGGAATCGAACCCAGAACTTTTTGGTCTGTGGGTTGACACTCTAACCACTGAGCAAAACTAGCCAGGGCTCAGTTTATTTTTTATAATGCAATCATTGCCCTCTAAATTGATTTTATTACCTACTGATGCGTTGAAACCTAAAATCAACTGAGTTGAAATCTGTCATAGAGCAACTTGATATTTGTTGCTTATAGGTATGCAAAATGTGAGTATTTGACATGCTGAATAATTACAACATTTTAGAATCAGAAGTGATTCTAACCACAGGTCATAGGGCAATCAGAGCATCTTAAAGTTACCAGGGGCTTCAGATTTCATCACCCTGCTCCTTTTAGAAGTGAGGCTCTGGGTCAGAGATAGTGACTGTGCAGACGTACTCACGCAGACGTACTCCTGAAAGTACCGAAGAGTATACGTGAGGTTCACTTCTCCACTTTGCTCCACGGGGTCTTTCACGGGGCGAACACACGGTCAGGACCGGCATGGCGGCCACACTGGTGCAGATGAGGTCCCAGCAGCTCACGGTGACTCGGGCTCGCAGGGCTGCTGGGCACTGCGCGGCCCGGAATGCCGCTGCTCCCCTTCGGCAGGCTCGAGGGAGTCCGAATGGGGGTGCTGGGTCGCGTGTCACTTTACCGTGACAGAGCCGTAAATCATCATTGTAGTAACCATGGTAAAGAAGAGAATGTAGCCAGTGGATGGTTTGATCTTGATTGTATAGAAAAGGAAAAGGAAATATGAGTCAAAAGAAACAGGGTGATGAGCTAGCAAGTGACTGGTTTGGAGAAGTGGTGACCATGAAGAAGGGGTGGCTGTCTTGACATTGGTGTCTGAGATGAGACCTGAGTGACAGAGGAACCAGCCATGACTGTCAGAATCAAGTGCAGTTCTGACTGGTAGGACCGTATTGTGACAAATAATAAGTTTATTATTATTCTAAAAAATTTCCATCGTAGCCACTGGTTTAGCTATAGATAAACCTCCCTTTGCACACAGCTGAGCAAAGTAAAGAGTGGCCTTTAACTGGATATTGTAAGCACCCAGCCTGTACCCTTTAGAGGTTCTCTGTAAAGGAGAAGAGGTCAGCCCTGGCTGGTTTGGCTCAACGGTTGGAGCATCGGCCCCTGGACCAAAGAGTCACGAGTTCAATTCCGGTCAAGGGCACGTACCTCAGTGGTGATTCGGTCCCTGGCCCAGGTTGGGGTCGTGCAGGAGGCAGCCAATCGATGTCTCTCACATCGGTATTTCTTCCCCGACCCCCATTCTATCTGAAGATAAATGGAAAAATTATCCTTGGGTGAGGATCATTAAAAAAAGGAGAAGAGGCGACACAAAATGAACTCAAACTGGATTAAGACTTGACTGCATGATCTCAAACCATGAAACTCTTAGAACAAAACATAGGCAGTGAGCACCCGGCGTTGGTCCTGCGATGATTTTTCAACCTGACACCAAAAGCAAAAATAATCGGGACTAAAAAGCTGAAAAGCTTCTGCGTAGCAATGAAACAGTCAACAAAATGAGATTGAGTAGAAGAGAATATTTGCAAATCATATATCTGACAAGGGGTTAATATCCACACTTCGTAAAGAACTAATACAACTCAATAGCAAAAACAAACAAATCCAGTTAAAACAAACGAAGCCAAAGATCTGAATGAACATTTTCCCAAAAAAGACATACAGATGGCCAACATGAAGAGAGGCTCAACATGTCTAATCACCAGGGAAATGCAAATCAAAACCACAGTGAGATACGACTTCACACTTACTGAAATGGCTCTTCTGAAAAAGATGAGAACTAACAAGTGTTGGCAAGGTTGTGGAGAGAAGGAAATCCTCACGCACTATTGGTAGAAATGTAAATTGGTGCAGCTACTACGGTACAGTATGGAGGCTTCTAAAACATTAAAAATAGAACAACCATGTGATCCAGCAATTCCACTTCTGGGGATTTATCGGAAGAAAACAAAAACACTGACTCAGAAAGGTGTCTGCATCCCCATGTTCATTGCAGCATTAGTTAAAATAGCCAAGACATGGCAACAACCTAAGTATCCATCAGTGGATGAATGAATAAAGAAAACATGGTGTATAATAATGGAATATTACTCAGTCATAGAAAGAATGAATTCCGCCCTGGCCAGGTGGTTCATTGGTTGGAGCATCATCCTGTGCACCAAAAGGTTGAGGGTTTGATTTCCAGTCCAGGCACATACCTAGGTTGTGGGCTCAATCCCCCTCAATCGATGTTTCTCTCATACATCTCTCTCCCTACCCCTCTCCTAATAAAAAGAAATCAATAAAAACATCCTCAGGTGAGGATTAAAAAAGAATGAATCCTTGCCATTTGTGACAACATGGATGGACTTCAGGGGTATTATGCTGTGTGAAATAAGTCAAAAAGAAAAATACCGTGCATTTCACTTATATTTGGAATCTAAAAAGAAAACATGCACAAAACAGACCCACAAGATCACAGATACAAAGAACAGGTTGGTGGTTGCCAGGGGTGGGGATTGGGTGGTGGGAGAAATGGGTGACGGGGTCACAAGGTACAAGTTTCCAACCCTGGCCGATTTAACTCAGCGGTTAGAGCATCGGCCCACAGACCAGAGAGACCCGGGTTTGGTTCCCACTAAGGGCACGTGTCTCGGTTGCAGTTTGTCCCCGGCCCCGGTTGGGGTCGTGTGGTGGCAGCCACTCGATGTGTCCCTTTCACGTCAATGTTTCTCTCTCTTCCTCCCTATCTCCCTCCTCTATCTGAAGGTAAATACAAACGTCCTTGGGTGAGGATAAAAAAAAAGAAGATACAAGTTTCCAGTTATAAAATAAGTCTTGGGGATATAATGTACAACATGGTGAAGATAGTTAATTACACTGTATTGCATATTTGAAAGTTGCTAAGAAAATTGATCTTAAAAGTTCTCATTACAAGAAAAAAATCGTAACTATGTTAACGACTTATGTGGTGATCATTTCACAATGTATATAAATACTGAATCATGTATACCCGAAACCAACATGTTATAGGTAAATTATACCTCAATTAAAAACAATAAAGGAGAATGGGCTGACAGCAGGCGTATGTGAAACACAGTTTATTCTTGTATTATTTATTGATTATTGTATTATTTTCCATACAAACAACTGTAAAACTGTCTGCTCCGCCCTGTATGTATTTTTCACAAGGAAAAAGAGTGAAGTCAGTTAACCAGAAAACAGTCTATACAATTGCTTCCTGTCCAGTTGCCTTCTTGGTGTTTGAGCCTTCTTCCCCTTTGCGGTGTAGGAGCCCCAGCCAGACCGTCTCCTTGTGCTGAAAGTCCTGTGGAATGACTTCTTGATGTGCTACTCCTCTCGCCCTCTGCTCTGCTGGTCGGTGTGGTGGGCCCTGTCCACCTGTGGCTATTTTCAAGTCATCAACTACACACAGGGCCTGTGGGAGCAGGTGATGCCTTCCCGCCACGCTGCTATCTCCGCTGTCTATAACGGAGGTGTGGAGGCCGTTTCAACCTTGCTGGGTAAGCTGTGCTCAGTGTTGGGGTGGGTGGGGGCTCCTCTGGTGGTCGGCAGCCATAATCAGTTTCTTCTCTCAGATCTGAGGTAGCTTTAAGGAACGATTTCCTTATTTTGAGTTCTGATTTTATAATTTATGTATGTTAACTCAGTTCTCACAAAATTCCTAAGATAGGTGCAATTACCATCCCCATTTATAGTTGAGAAAACAGCAGACAGATATGTTACTGACTTGCCCAAGGTCTTAGTAAGGAGTGAGGTCATTTGAACTCAGAGTCCGTGTCGTTGACTGTTACATTCTATTGTCTCTTTCTGACTTGTTGACATACCTCCTAAGGTTTTTGGGAGACTTTACATGGTTTCTGCAAACACTCGTAAGTGTGCCAAGCACTGAGGGAGCACTGCGTAGGCTTCAGCTGCCATGGTCATGCTCAGTGTTTTACCACAGGGCAGCGCCGCCCTTCGCCATGTTCTCAGTGGGTCCCCAGTAGGAGGAGAGACTCCCCGTCCTGCCATGGTGCCAGCTAGGAGCAGGGTTTCTTCTGGACGTTGCCTCTGCTTTAGCTGAGTTTCCTTAGCAGCATCCCTGGGTCTTTGGCCTCGTTTCCCAGCTCAGTGCCAAGCGCCCTAGTTCCGCACCTCATCCTCACACCGGCTCCATGGTGCTGATTTCGTCACGTCCGAATCTCTGCCTGCCTTTCAAGGCCCTCCATAGTCTTGAGCTACCCTCTTTATAAGTTCACAGCTTTTAAAATGTAATAATCTAAGCCGATTTAAAAATTTTAGCAAAATAACTAGATTATGTGTCTCGTTCTGTAGGTGCTGTTGCCGTTTTTGCAGTTGGTTACATAAAAATATCCTGGTCCACTTGGGGAGAGATGACACTGTCTCTGTGCTCGCTCCTGATTGCGGCCACAGTGTACATCATGGACACTGTGGGTAACATCTGGGTGTGCTACGCGTCCTATGTTGTCTTCAGAATCATCTACATGTTACTCATCACTATAGCCACGTATGTATTTTACTCAAAGAAGCATTAGGAAGAGTGATTGGATAAACCTTTTGGTTTCTTTACAAAGAAATTGAATTTTCTAGTTAAAAGAGGCAAATGGGAGAAAGCCCTGTATTGCTTGTTTTCTCCCGAGGAAGCATTTCGTTCCTTGTCCAGGTGTTCCTGCTGTCTCCAGATGTTGCATGAGCTTTGTATCATTTACATTGTAACTGCCCAGGAGGAACTTCTGGTCTATCCATCCTTCTTCCTTCGTTCAGTTTTCAGATCGCCGCCAACCTCAGCATGGAGCGCTACGCCCTGGTGTTCGGTGTCAACACCTTCATTGCGTTGGCCCTGCAGACACTGCTCACGCTCATTGTGGTCGACGCCAGCGGCCTGGGCTTGGATATCACCACTCAGGTGAGCTCTCCTTTGGCCCAGAGAAGTTTCAGCTGACCAGGGTGACGCAGTGGCGCACGCCTACCGAAGTGATTCGGACAAGAAGCAGACACACAATAGCAGTGGCCGCGTCCCCTGCCGCCAGCCATCCCCCATCGGCAGGTCTTTGCTGCCTGGACACATTGGGGCTGCCCTTTTTGCTGAGGCCCTGCTTTATCTCACAGCTGAGCCTCCCTTCTCTATTTAAGTCCCCTTCCCTAAACACCCAGGCAGCGACGTGCTGTGGACGAACAGCATTATGATTCTTACACATGACCTGCTGGGAAAACACCTGCACAGACACCCACGGCAATGTGAATACGTTTCTTGACTGAGGAGTCATGGTGGCAGGTGCCTTCATGCCCTCGTTGTGAGTCACAGGCAGGGTTTGCTCTGCGCTTCCGCAAAATGGGCAGCTGAATCAAGTGCTGCTGTGCCCCCAGCCCCGGCCAGAAAATTGCTTCTCCATTACTCCCTCCATACCTACATTCTCGTGTTCTTAGAATACAAAGACCAGCACGTCAGCAGTAATTGACTTTGTTTTTATTGACAAGATCTACAGGAGAAGTAATCATGATAGGTCATGTACGTTGAATGCTTTCTATGTGCCAGGTACTCTGCATAGAAATTTGTAGAGTTGGCAGGTGTAGACATGGAGGAAATGAGTCTGAGAGTTCAGAGATGTCAAGGGTCAAGGTCACAGAGTCAACAGTTGTGTGGCAGAGCCAGGACCTGAGCCAGCATCTAATTCTGAAGCCCATTCGTCTCCCACTGCACCTTGCTGCCTCAGAAAGGTGGGGGGCGGAGCCCAGGAGGGAGCTCATTACTTTCTATGTTTCCCAGTTACTACTGGCAGTCAAAACCTCAAGAAGACTGCTCAGGGGTTAGGTGCTTCATCAGGGAAGGAGCGTAGGACAGAAACTAAGTGCCTTCCTTTCCACTATAAGAATTGTGGGTTTAAATATACGGGATACTAGAATTTTGTGGCCTATACTGAAACTTTTAACTGCCATGATTAATTAACAGGTTTCCTATAAGACAATGTATCACACTTTTAAAAACCTGGCTCAGAGACTTGGAGCTGCTCTTACTGAGCCCATGAAGCAGCTTATATGTATTTAGTAAGTTATTTTAAGAACACTGTGGTGACGATGTTGCCAAACCATACAGCCACATTAAAAAGTTGGCTTATAAAAAACAATCCTATAATGGAATATACAGGGTGGGGCAAAAGCAGGTTTATAGAAACACAGAGTTTCTTCTTTATTGTTATTGATTTTTATATTATTTTCCATACAAACTACTGTAAACCTGCTTTTGCCCCAACCTGTAGTTTACCTTCTACTGCCCTCTTCTGGGAAAGAATCAGAGTTCTTTATCTTCAGAACCTGGTCTGTTAGTCATACCCAGATACCTCTCTGTCAGCTGGGTGTAGAGGTCGTGACTCAGTGACAACAGCAACAAAAGCACAAACAGTAGTATTAACAGCAGCAGCACTGTGCTCATAAACATTTACATGCACAGTCTCATCCTTCCCAACATCCCTGTGAAGTGGGAAGTAGTATGAATTCCATTTTGTAAAGGAAGTCAATGCTCAGAGATGAAGTGTCTCAGTCAGTCACACAGCTGGTCAGGGATGTGGTCAGAACTTGCACTTGGGCCTCAGGCTTCTGCATCGCCACACTCTGCTGCCTCTTTGTGTTGTCAGTGCCTGGCACACTGGGTAAGCACACTGTTTACGGAGAAACTGAATTAGTTTTAATTATAGAGTATATTTTCATACATGTACTACAACAGCTCTTCAGATCGATAATTCTATCAATGACTGTTTTGTCCTCTTTAGTTCCTGATCTACGCAGGATATTTCGCCCTCATCGCCGTGGTTTTCCTGGCCAATGGTATAGTCACCATAATGAAGAAATATACAAAGCAGGAAGAGCCAGAGTCAGGTTCTCAAGTAACCACTTCATAAGACACTGCTGACAAGCTGCTGCTTATAGCAAGAACTCCACACAGCCACGGTCCCTGGATGTATTTAATTTTTTAAGGTGTAGACATATATTTATGAATGTGCATTTCATGGCTTCAAAGCAGCCAATTGACTATACCTGTGTTCCTAGAGTAACAGTCATGTTCAGAGGAGCAGAAGGAAAGTTTATTTATAAGGATGATGTTTTTCTGATTCAAAGGTGAACTTGATTTTGAAAACCCAGTTATCACGAGCAGTCAAGCAGCACACGGGCTTGTATGCTTGACAGCTAGTGAACTGGGTGTGTCATAGGTCAAGCACTTCTGTATCTGATCAGCCAGAAGCTTGGCCCGGAGGGACCAGGGCTTCCCAGGGGCCACAAGATGTTACCGGTCAAGATAGAGCTATGTTGTCACAGCACCTGCCTCTGTTCAGTTTAGTTCTTGTTTTGTGTTACTCAAGTGCATTTGTTTCTACAGATGAAAGTTGTTCCTGCCACAGGCAGTATTTGCTCTGGTTTGGTGTGCTGTTCTATAAGGAGTGTGTGTCATTTCTAACAAGCTGTGTTTAAAATTCATGGTTTGAATGTTCTCTGTTCCCTTCTTGCCAGTTACGTACTTGTGTAGATTTTGTTGGAGACACGCTTGCATTATTCATATGCTTCCCAGAGAAGCTCATGTAGTTAGAAAGTAAGGCAAGTTTTGAAGCCTGCTCTGAGTGAAGAGACCTCATCGGAAAATGGAGGTAGATTTCCTCATCTTTCATTCTTCAGTAGGAAGGACTGTTTATTCCAGGATGAAAAGTTAGAATGTGGGCTAAAGACACCACCAGCCCACTGCACATTTGCATCCCTTTTATTTACAAAATAAGATGGAAAAGTCCTTTTTAAAAAATAGCTTCATCTCCATTTATAACTTTTATATTTGTCCTTATCTGAAATAAAGGTGTCATTGGGAGTTGGCTTATGCCAAGCCCTTTTTCACAAACTGAGCCTCTTTTTGGTAATTTCACTGGGACAGGAACCAGGACAGACACGATTCCTGCATTTTGTACATTAAATCTGCCTTTGCTTCTAAGCGTGGATCATCTTGAACACTTGCTTAAAAATAACAACTGCTAGTGATTCCATTTCCAAGGTACTTGAAAAAAGATTCTGTATACATTTAATCCTCAAACCAGCCTACTTACCAAGTGGCTGCAAGAACATGTGAGACATGAAAAGTATTTTAAAGCCAACTGTGTTGCCTTATCTTGAAAAGAAGCTAGGTAGCTGCCTTCAACTGGGGAGGGGGCAGGTTAATATTTTTAGAATGACACAGCTAAACAGTGAATAATAGTGTCATGATTATAAAATTGACATATTTATTTGGTTTAAGTGGGAACTCTAGAAGCAAATGAATAGGATAAGAATAGGTCGTTTTCCATTCAACTTCTTTTTGGATGTAGGGAAAGGAAAAGGACACTAGCTAAGGGAGGGAAGGGGATGTGATGTCATAAATGTAGCAGCCTCTAATTTTGTATTTTACCTTTTATTTTATTTTGCTATATAGGGAATTGTTTATTCAGAAACATAGAAAAGCGGTCTTTGAGGAATTTTATTTAAAATTTTTAAATAAAATGGACTGTGGTACAATCAAATTGTTCACATCACCAAAGCATCATTTCCCTGGAATGTAACCCGCAGTCTGTGGCACGCCACTGGAGCCGGTACCTAGGACGGCCGTGCACAGCCTGGTGGGCGGCCATGTTTGTAGAAAGCTCAACCTGATTCGCAAGTTGTACTGTATGCACCATTGCAAAGCGGAAATAATTTGTTGTACTTTTTATTCGATTCTGTATAGCTTATAAAATTATTTTTATTAAATAAATATTTTACAGTATATTTTCCATTTTTTAATCAAAATTATTTTAAATTTATCTTTTGCTTCAGTGGGACCTTTGTATTACATCTTCACGTCTTTTAATAATTTCTCCTAAGACAAATTACATATTAAGCCATCCCCTCACATGACCTTCCTAAGTAACCTTGTCATCCTGTTAATTCTTCCACTGTTCTGTGATCTGTACCTTTGACTCTTCCCCTTATTTCTATTGTTTTCCTAATTTTTTCTAGCACTATACTGTGCTGTTATTTTTCTTGGTCTTCATCTTGATACCTCTTAATCTCTGTTCTCAAATAATTCTCCCTTTTAGAAACTGAAAAGGCCCATCCCTTCACCGTTAACTGAATTTTTAAAATGAAGACTAAATCAAGGGCAGAAGCTACCATCTTGTTTTGAAACTTCCTAGCCTCTTTGTTCTAGCCCAGAATATTCTGGTACCCTGGGAAGCATCTTGCCGTCAATCGAGAAACATTCGTTCATCATATCCCAGAAAACAAAAGCAACCTTTTCCCACGATATCCAAATGAGCACCTTCCCTTTAAAACCCTTTCCAAAACCTGCCTCATTAAGGCATTTCCTTGATTATCACTTTTTACACTTGTTTTTGTTTGCAATTGGATTGGAGGTAACTGGAACGCTGACTTGCATTTAAGTGGGGTGTGAATATGAATTTTACACGAGATATTCCGGGTTTTATACCCAGATAAGGGTTCTGTGATTGTAATGTTTCACATACATTTCTTTGATAATGGTACATTAACACCTACCTTTTTATAAATTTAAAACACTGACAGTGTACAGAATATTTTTATTTTAGAATTCCACGCATAATTTAAATTTTTACTTATTTTCATTTTGGATAAAGGTATCCTAGAATCTACTTTCATCATTTTTGAAAACTATAATGATAGCAGCCACCATTTATTGAGCACTTTGTATGCATCAAGCATACTGACAGTCTTAAAAGCAAGTATTAATATCTATTTTATTGATGGTGTAACCAGACTTAGAAATTAAAATCTTCTACAGGCTAGTGAAGCTCAGGAAACAGGGTCTGCATATCTTTTTTTTTTATCCTCACTTGACATTTTTTTTGCATTTATCTTCAGATAGAATGGAAGGAAGAGAGAGAGAAGCATCAATGTGAGAGAGACACATCTACCGGTTGCCACCCACATGACCCCCAACCAGGGCCGGGGACAAACTGCAACCAAGGTATGTGCCTTTAGCGGGAACCGAACCTGGGACTCTCCAGTCTGCAGGCCGACTCTAACCGCTGAGCAAAACCGGCCAGGGCCATGTATCAATCTTTTTTTTTTTTTTTTATCCTCACCGGAGGACATTTTTCCATTTTTTGTTCAGGTAGACTGGGAGGGAGAGAGAGTAACAGAGAGAGAGAGAGAAACATTGATGTGAAAGGGACACATCGAGTGGTTGCCACCCGCACGACCGACCAGGGCCGGGGACAAACTGCAACCGAGGTACGCGCCCTTAGCGGGAACCGAACCCGGGTCTCTCAGGACCGCAGGTCGACGCTCTAACCGCTGAGCCAAACTGGCCAGGGCGTGTGTATCAATCTTAAGAATGCATTTTTTTTAAAGTAATTTTCAACCCTCCAGTGATGGTTTGCCTACTATTCCATTAATATTTTTGGTAATGTTTTTATTGTTGACATATAATTCATACACCATATACTTCATCCTTTAGTAGTCACCCTCCCTTCAGTAGCAGGGCCCACTCACCACCCCAGCTCTAGGCAACCACTGATCTTACTGTCTCTCTAGATTCGCCTATTCTGGACATTTCATATAAATGGAATCATACAGTATGTGGTCATTTGTGTCTGGCTTCTTTCAGTTAACATGATGTTTTATAATTTCATGGTTCATTGATGCTGTAGTGGTTTTCAGTGCTTCATTCCTTTTCATAGCTGAAAATATTCCATTGCATGGACATAGCACATTTTATCTATCCAGTCTCATTTGATGGACATTTGTTTCCACTTTTTGACTTATGAACAATGCCACCATATCTCATTAATATCTGCAAAAAAAAATTACAAATTATTTCAGAGGGTCAGTGGGAAAGACATTAAACTAGGAATTCTAAAACCTCAGGTCTCCTCCAGCTTTGGTAGTACTTCCATGTTCACTAAAGGAGATTTGACCCAAATTCCTTAGTCCTTCCATAGTCAGAAATTGTCCTGTTGAAGTGTGTGGCCTCAGACTGAGTCCTGCAGCTGAAGAAACATTGGTTCATTTCACTCTAAATTCTACACTGCAGCTAGGCAGGGCACACTCATTATTGCAGTTCATTTTAACCTTAAATCTTTTTTATAAACGTAGTTTACAGTTTGGGTAACATTTAAAAATTGCCCCCTCTTGGAGAAAAGGTGCTCTATTATATCAAATGATAGAAATTCTAATAAAAATTTTAAAATGACCTAAAAACTGGATTCTACTGAGCAAATATTTTAATCTTTCCTCGTTTTTTATTTATTTCTGGCAGGGCACAGACAATCCTACTATCTTGTCATTTGTCACCGATATTTAAATTCAGCTTGCTTCCTCCCTGTACATAAAGAGGATGTTTGAGGATTTAAGAAAATTCTAGGTGACTATTTTTGTAAAAATTTTAAAGTTAAATGTATAAGGATGACAGTTAATGCCATTATGTAGGTTTAACTGTACACTTCTAGGTGACCGGTTGGACGTGCCTGAATTGCTGGAGCAAACATCCTACTTGGACTCTTGAGTCCATTCGGCTTCGATTTTGATTGGTGGGCGGGCCTGGGAGCCCTTCGGCCCCAAATCTGGTAATTAGCCAGTTCCTCATCTACTAGGGAAAACAAACTAGCGTTCGGACGCTAACAACGCGAAAATAACAGGCAGAAATACTGGTAGAAGACGTCCCAACAACTTCCAAAACCTGGCGAGACCGGTCCCGCAGGGAAAACGCACAGCCGAGCGAGGGGAGCGGCCCGGGGCCAGCCCCTCCCGCTGCAGAGCCCGCGAGGCCCGCAGTGCGCAGGCGTCTCCTGGGAAACCGCAGGAGGGCGGGTCCCGGGCGGGCGCGGAGCCGCGGGAGCACCTGGCGCCGCAGGTACCGCGCGGCTGCCGTCTGCGCCTGCGCGCGCGCGCGCCGCGGCCTCGCCGTGCGAGAGGCCCGGATGGAGGACGCGGAGACGCGCCGTTGCCATGGCAGCCGGGTCCTGGCCGCCTCGGTAGCAGGTGCTGGGGTCTCCCTCGCCTCCCGGTCAGAGCTTAGAAAGAGGCGGAGAGGAGAGCCCCCCGGCCATCTGCGTGACCTCAGCCGCTGCATCGCAAGGCAGGCGGGGCTCTAGAGGGGCCGAGGGAAGGAAGGATGGTGCGGACTCCATGGGGGCGAGGGAAGGGGGGCCGGCGGGGAGCGGTGGGCAGAAAGGTGGGTGAAGACTGGCGGGAAGAGCCTTCCTGTGGCTTCACATCTTTCCGAGTCCTGGGTCCGCGGAGCCTGGCCACGCCCGGCTTGGCTTTGTGCGTGTGACCCTGTGGTCATCTTCTCCCCCCTCTCCGCGGCCCCTGGGGGACAGAAAACTCACCGAGACACCAGCTTCCAGGAGAGGCTGCGGTCCCCACTGAGTGGCTGTACCTTGGATACGACTGAGAATGACCACCGGACGTTTGTCAGCTACTGTTCATCGACATGCTTGGTGGCATATTGGTTTTTTCTTTATTTTTACTGTTGACACTGTTGCAGATAGTCCCCTTTTCTCCCCTCCACCCAGCCCACACCCCCTTCCCCCCCATTCCCTCTGGCCGTCACTGCACTGTTGATGTGTCCGTGGGTGGTGCTGTATGGTCTTTGGCGAACCCCTTCGCCTTCCTCACTCCTGCCAATCAGTCTGGGCAGGATGCGGCCGGAGGAATGGGCCAGGCGGTCTCAGGGTGGGTTCGATTTTGCTGAAGTACTTAGTTTATATTAACAGGTGTTCTCTCTGACATTCTTTCCATGTTCTTAGACTTTAAACAAGCATATGTTTAAAAGGCAATGGAATAAGACTGGAGCCAGTGAATTAGATGCAACTATATTTGAAAGTTCTGAATCCTGAAAGTTATCAAAATTGTGTATACCTATGGACTCAGCTTAGATTCAACACTAAAGACACCAGCAGTCACCTACCCTTGTGGGAGTTAGCAGACACCCAGGGGGAAGGAATTAATTTCCCATCTCTTACTACAGTTCCCGCTTAAGAAGGTGGTTCTGGGTCCAAGCCAGTTACACAGATTTTTACTGAGGATAAACACAGAAATTTAACTTGTGCAAAACTCACAAGAAATAAGTGTTAGGTGATTCTGTTTGTGTCAAGAGTGTTTTGTTCCAGCGTGTGGATTGTGTACCAGATGGCCAGTACCCTGGGGGTAAAGATTAGAAGAACAAAAGAGGATTGATTATCCTGTGACAGTATTTGAAAAAGGCTTAGGGGACTTGGTAACAACAGTTTGTGATTTATGTCCTTTGTTTACTTGGGAACCAGCCATGAACTTTTTGAAGTTATAAGAAAAGAATGGCACTTCTAATTTGATGCAACTTTTCATTTACTTCTCAGCTTCAGCTATAGCTTTCTTTTGAAGTGTGTCATGTTAGTATGTTTTAATGACACCTAATATGTTTACTTTGTAATCATTTTATTTTTAGTTTATTGTGCTGTGTTGTGCGTTGGATTTAAATTTGAGTTTTCACTTGGGCGAGATTCTTTGTAAATAATAAAGCATATTTATCAAAGTCTTCAGGCAACAATTTATTTACAAGTCCAACTATGTTTATTATAAGATTAAGGGAAAGCACTGAAGAATTCCATGGAAATCTTATTCTAACAGTTAGTTATATAATTTAAACGTCTTAAAATAATAAATCTCAACATCTCTGGTCTGAAAAGAAAGCTGATTATCCTAAGGCATTTGTGACTGAAAAAATAGAATTATTTCTGTAGTTTGGATCACACTTAGGTTTAGTTTATTCTGCCATGGTTCATGGTACCCTTATTTTAATTGGTAGGTACACAAACATAACAGTTTGTGTGATTTAGCCTGTGTTGCAAGTATGCAGTAGTAAATATACTCACTCTGAAATATTGATTTGGTTTCTCCAGGTCACCTCAAAGTATTATTGCTCTCAACCTCTGATTTATGAATTATTGTTGTTTTACTTTGAGTCCTTTAAGAAAGTCTATTTTGTAATCTTAGTTTAAACGAAATAAATATCTGAAAGGAATTATAGTCCAACTAATACATTAGAAATAGAGTTATCTAGCTGAATAATGAACATTTCAGTGTACCTAAAACTAACTTTGTTTTGAGAGGGAAAGGAAACCAATATCAAGAACGAGCCAAAGGAAAGATGACATTTAAATAAGACAGACTTCAAAATGTCTTTAAATCTAGTTATTCAGACACTAATTATTTTATTTTTTGTAATCATATATATATTTATTTTTTTCAATGACAGTTTATCAATATTGTTTTGGATTAGTTTCAGGTGTACAGCATATTAATTAGACAATCATATACTTTACAAAGTGTTCCCCCTGATATTTCCAGTACTGAACTGGCACCATACACAATTATGACAATATTACTGACTATATTTCCTACGCTGTACTTTGCATCCCTATGAATGGTTTATAACTACTAATCTGTACTTCTCTCTCTTTTTTTTACCATGAGTTCTGTCTCTCCTTTTTCGTTTTTGCTCAGTTCCTCCACCCCCCACACCAAGTCCCCCAACCTCTCCCCACCCCACCCCAACAGCTGTTAGCCTGGTATCTATGAGTATCTCTATTTTGCTTGTTAGATACATGTTATCATGGTATGATGCATTTGCTTTTAAATTCTCTTGCTTTTCATGAGTTGGTTAATTTCGCATCTTCTAGAAAAAGTTAAAAGCAATCTTAAGAATCACCTAGCCCAACTTTTTCTGAAGCTGTGATCTCCTTTAGAGCAGTTATGCCCGGGCCATCTTCCGGGCACTTCGGCAGACACCCCGCCTCACCTCAGGACAAGGCTGAACGTGAAAATTCTGTCTTCCATTGGACCCAGATTTGCCCTGAGTTCCCAGCCCTGGGTGCTAATGTTACTACTTGAAGCAGATGAGTCCCAGTCTCCTCCAGCGGCAGCCTTCTAAACACTGTACAGCAGCTGCCGGCCATCCTGTCCGGTCTCCTTCGGCTATCACCTCAGGGTTTTAAGGCAGAATCTGGTTTTAAGGCATTTTACTCTCACAACCTAGCTCTTCCCCTTCTTCTCTTTTATGCCCCACTCATGGGGGATATCTCTGGGCACGTCTACCGTTCTTTGCATTATAGTAACTGGCGCAGGAAACGGCACAGGGCCTCATAGGTTGTCTGTATCTCACCCACAGTCTCATCCTTGGAGCTCATTCACGCTTTGGGTATCCCCATCATTTAAAAACTCATTTTGAGCCCTGGCCAGTATGGCTGAGCAGTAAGAGCGTTGCCCATGGACCAAAGAGTCATGGGTTCGACTCCAGCCAAGGCCATGTACCTCGGTTGTAGTTTGTCCCCGGTCCCGGTTGGGGTTGTGCAGGTGGCAACCAGTTGATGTGTCTCTCTCATGTCGATGTTTTTTTTTTCTCTCTCTCAATGTAAAAATGTCCTTGGGTGAGGATTAAAAATAATAATAATAATAATAAATAAATAAAATAATAATATTAAAAACTTAAAAACTCGTTTTGAACCCCATGTCCACTGTGAAAACATTTTTCATACACAGTACTGAACAGTCTTGTCACTTGGCTGGTGCTAGAGCAGCCAGCGGAAAGCTGTCCCCCCGACATGCTTCCACTGTCACTCGATGGTGAACAGTGGAAGGAAAACAATTAAACCTCACTGCAGTGAGATTTGACCAGGTGGTCTAATCAGATGTTTGGGGAGAGTAAAGTGAAGCTAATGGCCAAAACAAAGCTTGTGGGTAACTTAATAATTCAGGCATAATAGCTTTCATTTTTCATCTTTATTTATTTTTAAAATGTGTTTTTATTGATTTTTTTTTTTTTTTTTTTTTAAGAAAGAAAGGGAGAGCTAGAAACATCAACTGGCTGCCTCTTGTGTGCCCCCTACTGGGGACTGAGCGCACAATCTGGGCATGTGTCCTGAGCAGGAATGGAGCTGGTGACCTCTTGGCACATGAGATGATACCCAACCACGGAGCCACACCAGCCAGGCTCATTTTACATTTTTAAAAATGTGCCTAGGTTTCTTGTGTTCTTGACACCTGTACTTTCTACTTCCAAAAAGGGTTTTAGGCAACTTATTCTTGGTGTAGGAGCCAGAGAAGGCAGATGTAGGAACAGGTTCTCAGGTGTTTGGGGCTCTGAGGGTCGGATCTCCATAGTTCTTTTGAAGTTGGATCTAATCTTCTATGTACATTTAGAGAGCATGCTCTTTGTTTTGTTTTGTTTTTGTTTAAGTCAATATTGGGAAGTATGTAGGTAATTGCTATATGCTTCTACCTTTGGCTGTTTTGGACAGTTAAATCTACAAAAACAATTTCCCCTCAACCCTTTTCTTTTTGAAAAGATAATGTGACATCAAACTGACCCCTTCTCACTCCTTCCGGATCCTTCCTTGGGGATACGTTTATGTTCAGTTCCAGGCTTGCCCATGTTTGTTCCCTCTCGTGTGGCTGTTTGTCTGGAAGAACTGATGACCTCAGACTCAGTCTTCAAAGTCCAGATCGCATTTCCACGATATTTCCCATTTTAGACTGAGTTACTTGCTTTTTAAAGTCTTTCTTCCACAGTCATATGTATAACATTTATTAACATTTTTATTTATGTTTTTTTCTACCTTTTTAAATGATCTGTTTTGCTTATATTTGTCTTCTGTACCAGACTGCAAACACCTCAAGGGTATAGGTCTCTTTTATCATCTTTAGAGGACTACATACAGGAATATTGTGGGTATTCAATGAATGTTCGCCAAAGATGTACATCTATATGGTATGCTCAGACACATATACAGACACATTATAGGTAGAGATTTGTATGTTCCTTTTATTTGAAAGATTATGCACAAAAAAGTAGCAGGGCTAGGCACTGACCTCAATTTAAAGATAACGTTAGCTTAGTTCTCTTAAAAATGGCTGAATTTACAGACCATTTCCCAAACAGTTATTAACTTTCATCTGACATCTTATTGTTGTCACTGTCTTCTAGTATTAGGCATTGGAGTTTTGTTTGTTGATTTGTTTTTATGAAAAAAATGTTTTATTTAGAGTTGACAGTAGTCTGACTTCTGTGGAAACCAGTATTCACCATAAACGAGAATCAGTTATTACTTAGTTAAAAAGCTCTCAGGTCACAAATTATAGTTTTGCCATATCAATGACTAGACCTTTCTTTAGGAAGGGTTGAGAAACTAAGGACGGGAATTGATATGCTTGTTTCCATTTGAACATAAGAACATGTGAATGAGTGAGACTAAGAAGCTGAGTCAGGTGCTCTGACCTGGGACAAGGTATTTTAATGATGTGCAGGGAACATGGAACATTTCTCTCTAAGCCTCTGATGGTCTTCCCATCTGCTTCTTTTAGTCTCCTTGCAAATTTGGGCTTCAGGAATTGGGGGGAAGTGGGATAGTGGTTAGGAGAAGTACACTTTGAAAATGTCTGGCCATTGTAAGTCTCTTTTAGGGTATACAGGTACATGTTTATTCTGAACACCCCATGTTTTGTGTGTCTGTAGCTTGCAGACATTTGTGTTTTGTAGCTTGCTTTAACATTAATCTTTATACTCCACACTACCCCTGAAGTGGACAGAACATAGACCTTATCTCTTTTCGTCTTATAGCATTATTCTCTAACACATGGAAAATGGACAAAAATAAAGATACCGATTCCAAAGAAACTGGAGAATATGAAGATGACTTTGAAAAGGACCTGGAATGGTTAATTAATGAAAAAGAAGAAAAAAGTGATGTCAGCATAATGGAGGTATACATAAATTGCCAACAGCATTCATTAACAATATTGACAAAGTGCTTTGTAATTCTTGTATCTTATCTAACCATCACAAAATGTCTTTAATGTACATTGAACAAGTGACATTATCCCTATCTTATGGGTGAGAAAATTGAGGCACAGAGAGTTTAAATGTTGTATCTTAAGGCATGGGCTAATTAGAGAACAAGGATTAGGTTAGCACTTAATAAACCTAAAATTATAAATTTAAAATTGTACTTTATATATAATATAAATAAATAATGTAATTGATTGAATCAAAAGTAAAAAAAAATGAATGCACTTCATTTCTACTTTGTATAAACTTGAGTAAAATCATGGGGTTATACTTTTAATATAAATAAAAATTAAAGTAAATCCTCAAAAAACATGGTGTTTTTGTTAATATTGAAACCTTTAAGAGTGAATGAGCTCTTCATGGGAGTGAATATAGAGGAAACAAAAGTAGAGGTTCTTTTATTTCTTTTTCCTCTAGAAAATCTAGAGGTAAAAATGGACCTGGAATTGGATTTGGGTCCTGCAGAAAATTGCAATAATAATCTCCAGAGATCCTAAGAACCTGAAAATGATTAGGACTTGACCAATGGCAGTAACCTTTAATATATATATCTTTTTAAGAATACAAGTATTATAAAAAAACATTAAAAAATATTCTGAAAATATAAAGGGATGAAAATTTTATAGAAGGTGTAAGAATAAAATAATATTGTGTTCTTTATAGTTACCTTTTCATGCACCAGCATTAAAAATGTTTAAATATCAATCTAGTACTCAGTAACATCAAATTCGGATTTCGAGCTAAATGTTCCCTGAGTGCTGTCGCCACTTGCATTTCCCCTGGGAGGCCCACAAATGTGAGGTAGAATTTTTTGAGCAAAGAATGAGCAAGAAGCATGCACACCTTCCCATTTCTAAAAATAAGTTCCATGAGTCAGAAAATCCATTTCAGATTTTTTAACATATGTAAATAGACAAAGTGTCTCCATTTTTACTAAAAAGAGAACCTCATATCTTTTTTTTTTTTTTTAAGATGGCTTGTAGGAATGCAGAGGACATTAGCCAAGAATTCAAAGAGAATGAAACAGAAGAACACACCCAACGGCTTTCTGATCCTGACACATCTTTGAGTGATGAGGTGTCCCCAACAAGAGGTGACTTCATTTCTGTACCGAACAGTCAGCTATTGGATCCCATCTCAGATTCAGACAGTGACAGCTCTTTCCAGGATTCCAAACTGGAAAGCCAACAAGACCTGGTGGAGGATGAGGATGAGGAAGTAAAGAGATATATCATGGAGAAAATTATAGAAGCCAACCAGATTCTCCAGAACCAGGGACCGGTGAATGATAAAAGGGAGCGGAAACTTAAGTTCAAGGACAAATTAGTGGACCTTGAAGTTCCTCCACTGAAGGACACTGACGACGACCAGAATTATTTCGGAAATGAAAGTACCGTGTCTGGAAAACTGTCGCAGTTGTGTATTTCCAGCGAATTTGGGCAAGAAGATGTGCTCCTGGCACTCACGGAGGGCAGCCATGAAGAGAGCAAGGACAGAAAGATCCTCGTGGAGAGAGACGGGAAGTTTGAGCTTCTGAATCTGCAAGACATTGAGAGTCAGGGGTTTTTGCCCCCCATTAACAATGTCAGCAGTACAGAAAACGAACCCCAGCAATCGTCACCGGGGTCTTCCAACTCCTCCGTCAGTGGTGTCAAGAAAGAAGAACCTGTAGCAAACATTCAGAGCTCATCAACAGAGGAGCCCCTGGCTTTTACCCCTCAGCCCCCACCCAACCCCAAAGTTCGTCCAAGCTCTGCAGCCAACCCAGTGCCCAGTAAGGGGAGCGGGAGGCCCAATCACAGGACACAGTCTGCGAACGTATGTCCAGTGACCTCAACATATTGTCTTTCCCCCAGACAGAAGGAACTGCAAAAACGGCTAGAGCAGAGGAGAGAGAAGCTGAAGAGAGAGGTGAGAGCCCACCTGGGTGTTAGGGGAGAGGAGACTCACAGGGGCAGCAGCGTTGAAACAGTTCTAAGTACGGGGTGTATCTGCACGCTCGTTTCGTTTTCCTGAGTTAGATTAAGTGGCTGAGTGCTAAGAGTGTGGCTGGAAGGGACAGACATCATGACTAGCTTGGTCCTTTCGTGTAAGTAACTCCCTGTTATAACATTAGCCAGATAATTCACATTAAGAAAATTCATTCTGGCCCAGCCAGTGCGGCTCAGTGGTTGAGCATCCACCCATGCACTAGGAGGTCACTGGTTCGATTCCCGGTCAGGGCACAGATGCCCAGTGGGGGGCATGCAGGAGGCGGCCAATCGATGTTCTCTCTCATGGATGTTTCTATCTCTCTCTCCCTTCCTTTCCTTCTAAAAACCAAGGAAGAAGAAAACAAAATGTTTTTTAATCCATTTTGTTCTTGCATTTAACTGAACATTTCTTCCAACAGCAAGAATGTTAATTTATGAGTATACCATAGTCGAAATATTTTTAAACAATAATGATAAATTCAAACACACCCTGGCCGGTTTGGTTCAGCGGTTAGAACGTCAGCCTGCGGTCCAGAGAGACCCGGGTTCGGTTCCCGCTAAGGGCACGTACCTCCGTTGCAATTTGTCCCCGGCCCTGGTTGGTCGTGTGGGTGTCAGCCACTCGATGTGTCCCTTTTATGTCGATGTTTCTCTGTCTCTCTCTTTCTCTCTCCCTCCCACTCTATCTGAACAAAAAAAATGGAAAAATGTCCTCAAGTGAGGATTGAAAAAAAAAAATTCAAACACATCTGAAGGGACCACTAACCCGTGTTCCCATCGCCCAGCTCCAAGTCACTGAGCTGCTGGCGTGCTCGCCTCCCCCTGCTTCCCAGCTGCAGCAGTCATAGAACGTGTGCGGACAGCGCCATTGCGCAGCTGCACGCTTCCAAGTGCGTCTCTGAGGGGCTACAGCGCTTTCTTCTGCAACCACACCACCACTTGTTACCACGAACAAATGTAACAGCAACGTAACAACACTTGCAACATCTTCCCTGCTCTTATAGACACCAGGTAGTGCTGCTTCTGCATAGCTGCCATGTGTAAGGAGTGTGAGACCAAAGGTACACTAGAAGTGGAAGGGACAGTCAAGGAATTCCTGAACAGTATGTTTGCATTGCACATCCACGTAATTGTGGAATTTATCTCTACAGTTTAATTTATCTTAAAAATTGTCATTTTCTTCCTAAGCAAATCAGAGGCCCTATTTTTTTTTTTTTAAGGAAGTTCAATTTTTTTGTTTGTTTAAATCCTCACCTGAGGATATTTTCCCATTTAGTTTCAGACAGAGTGGGAGGGAGAGAAAGAGAGAGAAACATCGATCTGAAAGGGACACATCGATTGGTTGCCTCCCCCACAACCCCGACCAGGGTCGGGGACCAAACCGCAACTGAGGTACGTGCCCTTGACTGGCATCGAACCTGTGACTCTTTGGTGCGCGGGCTGATGCGCTAACTGCTGAGCCAAACCAGCCGGGGCAAGGAAGCCCAATTTTTAGATGAAAAGTGGTAGGGGCAGGGAATTCTAACTTTAGATCTCCAAATCTCTCTTTCTACTCTAGGAACTCATATGTACTTTTTTCAACCTTTTGTTAATGCCTTTTGATATTCTTTCCTCCAGGAAGAACAACGGAAGATAGAAGAAGAGAAAGACAAGAAAAAGGAGAATGACAAAGTGTACAAAGCATGGCTGCAAAAGAAAAAAGAGCAGTTCGTAGAAATGAGAAGGGTTCAGCGTGCAAAGCAAATCGAAGACATGAGCACTAGAGTAAGTACGACTTCTCTGTGAAAAGTAATTTCCCCCAGATACGGAAGCTGGATTCATTTACAGAAAGGCATCTGAGGATCAGCTAAGCACGCACGGAGAAGCAGAGAATGTGGTCCAGGAGCTACCCTCGCTAAGCATGCATCGTGCTCATGGCTACAATTACATTCTAAGTAGCCTTGTAAACATCCAGTGATTCCTATTTTATTCTAACTTCTATAACACTGAAAATGGAAAACTACCATTTTTTTTTTTTAAGATAGCGTAACTTTGATACTCAAATAGGACAAAGATAGCGTGTACACACACAATACCCCGTACACCTGGGACTGATCCCAGGCTCCCTCTGTGGATACCAGAATCCCTGTATGCTCAAGTCCCTTATATAAGTGGTGTAGTATTTGCATATAACCTACATAATCCTCCCATATATTTTAAATCACCTCTAGATTACGTATAACACCTAATACAATGTAAATTATATGGAAATAGCTGTTATACTATATTGTTTTCTTTCTCCTATGTATGTATATGTGTGCATTTCTTTTTTTATTTTTCAAATAAGTTTTTTTCCAATTATATTAATTTATTTTTGTTACAGAAGTTTCCCCCTAGCTACCCTCCTCCCCATTCCCCCCCAGCATTGTTGTCTATGTCCATTGGTTATACATGCATGCATATACGTTCTTTGGTTTATCTCATCCATTCCCCACCCCCCTCTGCTGAGGTCTGTCAGTCTGAATGATACTCCTTTCTATGGGATTGTTTTGTTCGTCAGTTTATTTTGTTCGTTATATTCCACAAATAAGTGAGATCACGTGGTATTTGTCTTTCTCTGATTGGCTTATTTTGCTTAGCGTAATACTCTCGAGGTCCCTTCATGTTGTCTCAAAGGATAAGAGATCTTTCTTTTTTTACAGCTGCATAGTATTCCATTATGTACATGTACCATAGCTTTTTTATCCACTCATCTATTGATGGACACTTGGGCTGTTTACAGATCTTAGCAATTATAAATAGTGCTTCTTTGAACATAGGGGTACATATATTCTTTCTGATTGCTGTTTCAGGCTTCTTAGGATATATTCCTAGAAGTGGGATCCATATGTGTGTATTTCTTATTGCGATAACATTATATAAGTTTCAGGTATACAACATTACAGTTCCATGTCTGTATACACTATGGTATGCTCACCTGTTATCATCACACCCCCTTCACGCATTGTGCCCTCTCCTCACTCCCTTGTCTCCTAGTGCCCACCTATGCATTTTCTCTACCGAAGACATTGTTTTTACTTCGTTTTGTTTGTTCATTAGTTTCTTTTTTGTTTTATATTCCACATAAAGATGAGTGAAATCACAGTTTTTATCCTTTTCCATATGACTAACTTCACTTAGCATAATACCCTCGAGATCCATACATGTTGCTGCAAATGGCAATATTTTATCTTTTTTTTTTCATGGGTGAATAATATGCCATTGTACATAAATACTACATCTTAGTCATCCAATCATCCACCAGTGGACACAAGTTGTTTCCATGTCTCTGCTCTTGTAAAAACGCTGCCGTGAACACACAGGCGCTGTCTGTGTTCAGTGAGATGTTTGAAAGAAGCCAGACGGCCAGGACGGCAATGCTGAGTTTCCAGACAGCAGGGTGATCCGTGCTGCGGACTCCAAGGTGACGTAGCTGGCTTGGGTGCAGGCCATGAGGTTGGCGTCATTATGAAAAATGGATGAGTGGGCCCCGTTTTTGTGAGGTCCTGCAGGCAGGGCCTCAGAAAGTCGTCGCCGTCCATTTGAATGAGCAGAGCTTATTCCTGTAACCAGCAGGGAAACAGAGACCCCCAGCAAGCGTTCCGACTGTGGCTGAAAAAGAAGCATGAGGAGCAGCTGAAAGAAAGAAGGACCGAAGAGCTACGGAAGCAGGAGGAATGCCTGTTCTTCCTTCAGGAGACAGAAGGCCGCGAAAAGGCTTTCAAACAGTGAGTCAAAGGCAGAGCCCCGCTTCCCCAAGGTCGCTTCTGAGTCATGTAATCAACGGGGCTCGAGAAAACATGTGACCTTTGACACTGCATACCGATTCAATTTTAAATCCACACTGCAGTACAGATACATACGAAAATTCTTTAACTCCACACTTCGCACAAGATTGATACCATCCTTTTAAGTCGTTTTCAATACTAAAAGAGGTTCCTAGGGCCCCCCGTGTGATAGCCTTGGGTAGCCTACCATTCATTCATCCGTTTGCCGGTTCATTCATTCATTTGTTTGTGGATTTGTTCACTTCTTAGAGAAACGGGCCAAAGATTGGTTACCGCTTCTCCTACACAGTTCTCAGAAAAGTGGAACAAGGAGTTGCATTTACCTAGAACTATTTTCTGTGAAGAAAGGCAGGCAGACTGAGGAGAGAGATCTGTATAGACCAAATGAAAGGAGATTTAGCATGTTTTGGTGGTTTAAAGCAATCCGGTCTCGTCTCAGCTGTCTGGGTAGGACCCTGCGGTGCCTGGCTAGGCCTGAGGACACACTGTCTTTGCGCCAGCAAGCCCTGTGGGAGTGGGTGTCCTGTGGTTTGAAGTTTCTTTCATTTCTGTTTTTTTCTTTTTCTTTTGGTGTATTTCTCTCTCTCTCCTTCCTTCCTTCTTTAAAAAAATATCTATCTATCTATCTATCTATCTATCTATCTATCTATCTATCTATCTACCTACCTATCTACCTACCTACCTACCTATCTATATCCCTTTTTTATAGAAGCGGTCAATGTGCATTATGGAAATGGAGGGAGAGAGTCACATTTCATCCCTCAGAAACCACTACTGTTCAAACCTTAGTGCATATCTTCTAGATATTTCTGTGTATCATTTAAAAATAGAAACCCCCAGTTCACCCCCAAAAGGACTACAGTTAATGTGCTCAAATTAGTATCCAAATCAGGACCAAAATACATATGGTTATGGTGTTTCTGAAGTCTCTTATTCTGACACGATTATTTAGTTGTTCAGGTTTACTTCTTTAAGACTTTTATATCTATGGTGTGGGCTTATTTTCAGGAAGAGCTGTTTGTGCACGGAAAGGCGGGAGCCCTACCCTTTCCCTGCCGGGGAAGCGAGGCGGCATCACACAGCCCGCTCTCCGCCCGGCCCAGCGAGGTGTCGGCCGCGACGAGTTGCAAAAAGTCAGCTATTTGGAATCTGTCACATGCTTATTTGCTTAGAAAGCCATATATATTTTTTTAAAAGATAGGTCCTATATCACATATAAAATAGTGTTTATTACTTTAAAAAATTTATGTTGGCAAATTCATTATAAGACAAACTTAATTTCAAACATTCAATACCAAATGTAACTATGCTTTCTTCTGCGAGCCTAGGGCCAAAGCCTGAAATTTTTCAGTTAATACTTTAATTTGTTTTGTGACTACAGCATTTCAGTGTCAAGAAATGTGATGTCTTCTCACGTCCATGGCGGTAACTTTATAGCATGAAGCGTGTCTTCAGGCTGACGCCGGGTCTGATCACGTCTGTTTCCACAGGTGGCTAAGAAGGAAGCGGGTAGAAAAACTCGTGGAGCAACAAGCTGTCAAGGAAAGAACTAGACAGTTCCGACTCGAAGCAAAGCGTTCTAAACAGTTGCAGAATCAACTATATACTATGTCTGAAGCCAAATCTTTTCGTTTTACTGATCATTACAACTAAAGGTATCCACTGAACACTGATCATTACGACTACAGGTATCCACTGAACACTGATCATTATGTCTACAGGTATCCACTGAACACTGATCATTGTGACTACAGGTATCCACTGAACACTGATCATTACGACTACAGGTATCCACTGAACACTGATCATCACGACTACAGGTATCCACTGAACACTGATCATCACGACTACCGGTTTCCACTGAACACTGATCATCACGACTACCGGTTTCCACTGAACACTGATCATCGAGACTACAGGTATCCACTGAACACTGATCATTACGACTACAGGTATCCACTGAACACTGATCATCACGACTACAGGTATCCACTGAACACTGATCATCACGACTACAGGTATCCACTGAACACTGATCATCACGACTACCGGTTTCCACTGAACACTGATCATCGAGACTACAGGTATCCACTGAACACTGATCATCACGACTACAGGTTTCCACTGAACACTGATCATCACGACTACAGGTATCCACTGAACACTGATCATCACGACTACAGGTATCCACTGAACACTGATCATCATGACTACCGGTTTCCACTGAACACTGATCATCGAGACTACAGGTATCCACTGAACACTGATCTTACGACTACAGGTTTCCACTGAACACTGATCATCACGACTACAGGTATCCACTGAACACTGATCATCACGACTACAGGTATCCACTGAACACTGATCTTACGACTACAGGTTTCCACTGAACACTGATCATCACGACTACAGGTATCCACTGAACACTGATCATCACGACTACAGGTATCCACTGAACACTGATCATCACGACTACAGGTATCCACTGAACACTGATCATTACGACTACAGGTATCACTGAACACTGATCATCACGACTACAGGTATCCACTGAACACTGATCATCACGACTACCGGTTTCCACTGAACACTGATCATCGAGACTACAGGTATCCACTGAACACTGATCATCACGACTACCGGTTTCCACTGAACACTGATCATCGAGACTACAGGTATCCACTGAACACTGATCATTACGACTACAGGTATCACTGAACACTGATCATCACGACTACCGGTTTCCACTGAACACTGATCATCGAGACTACAGGTATCCACTGAACACTGATCATTACGACTACAGGTATCCACTGAACACTGATCATTACGACTACAGGTTTCCACTGAACACTGATCATTACGACTACAGGTTTCCACTGAACACTGATCATTATGACTACAGGTATCCACTGAACACTGATCATTACGACTACAGGTATCCACTGAACACTGATCATCACGACTACCGGTTTCCACTGAACACTGATCATCGAGACTACAGGTATCCACTGAACACTGATCATCACGACTACCGGTTTCCACTGAACACTGATCATCGAGACTACAGGTATCCACTGAACACTGATCATTACGACTACAGGTATCCACTGAACACTGATCATTATGACTACAGGTTTCCACTGAACACTGATCATTACGACTACAGGTTTCCACTGAACACTGATCATCACGACTACAGGTTTCCACTGAACACTGATCATCGAGACTACAGGTATCCACTGAACACTGATCATCACGACTACCGGTTTCCACTGAACACTGATCATCGAGACTACAGGTATCCACTGAACACTGATCATCACGACTACAGGTTTCCACTGAACACTGATCATCACGACTACAGGTATCCACTGAACACTGATCATCACGACTACAGGTTTCCACTGAACACTGATCATCACGACTACAGGTATCCACTGAACACTGATCATCACGACTACAGGTATCCACTGAACACTGATCATCACGACTACCGGTTTCCACTGAACACTGATCATCGAGACTACAGGTATCCACTGAACACTGATCATCGAGACTACAGGTATCCACTGAACACTGATCATTACGACTACAGGTTTCCACTGAACACTGATCATTGTGACTACAGGTATCCACTGAACACTGATCATCGAGACTACAGGTATCCACTGAACACTGATCATTATGACTACAGGTTTCCACTGAACACTGATCATCACGACTACAGGTATCCACTGAACACTGATCATCACGACTACAGGTTTCCACTGAACACTGATCATCACGACTACAGGTATCCACTGAACACTGATCATCACGACTACAGGTATCCACTGAACACTGATCATCACGACTACCGGTTTCCACTGAACACTGATCATCGAGACTACAGGTATCCACTGAACACTGATCATCGAGACTACAGGTATCCACTGAACACTGATCATTACGACTACAGGTTTCCACTGAACACTGATCATTGTGACTACAGGTATCCACTGAACACTGATCATCGAGACTACAGGTATCCACTGAACACTGATCATTACTACTACAGGTATCCATTAAACACTTCATTTTGAAGCTACTATCAGAATTTTGGGAATTTTTTTATGGCCCATGTGCTTTGGTTATACTCTATGAAAATGGTACGTATTTTTTGGTGATGTTGACAGTGATTTATCTCTCTCTCTCTTTTTTTTACGCTAAAACAAAATAGTAAATTTCTCCTCTTAAAGTGTGTGTGTTATACCATCTCTTAGTCCATGCAACAAATTGAGCAATGAATGAACTCTGCATTCTTTATTCCCTTACTTCTAAATTATTTTAACATTTTTAGCCGGAAAGATTCACAAGAAAGGCACAGATTTCTATTCTTAGTTCCTATTATCATAAAAAAAAATTGCAATGGAACATTTCATAAGGCAGGAAGAGTTACCTCTTAAACAAGCCTGGCTCAATGCCTTATACAAAGTTCTATTAAATCAGCTTTAAATTAGAGTAGCTATAGATAGTAGGGTTGGCCTACTTATTTTTTTTTAAAGTAACAATTATGTATAATACCATTTTAGATATGTTATAAAATTAGCCAGCTCTTAGTTTATAATCTGGTATTGTTGTAAATGCTCTACATAAATAATTTGATATAATGCTTATGACAACTCTATTAATCTTCTTTTTGCCCATGAGGAAATTCTAGAGGTGAGCAGTTTGCTCACAGACTCTGATCTGTATGATTGCAAAATCTTTTCACTTAGTTATAAAGTTTATGTACCTTGGGAGACATTAGGGAAACATTTAAAATTATATAAGAATTGGATGTGTAATCGATGTTTCTCTCTCTCCCTCCCTCCCTCTCTCCCTCCCGCTCTATCTGAAGATACATGCAAAAGTGTCCTCTGGTGAGGCTAAAAAAAGAAAAAGAATCGGAGGTGTAGAGGAACAGTACCCTTGATATGCGTAAGGTGTTTTAAGAGGCGGAGGACAAAGGCAAACACAAGTGTGATGGAGAGCGCAGAATCACTGTAGGAGTTCTGCTGCAGCTTCGAAAGACAGATTCCCATGAGCTGGCTATTTGTACGTTAAATTAGAAAATGAGGAAAACTAATCCTGTCTCAGCTTCTTATAGCTCTTTCTGCATTAAGTGAGATGATCATGGGAGCCTATCCTTTGTTCTGTGAATGTGCTGTATGACACTGGTTGATTTTCTTGTTCATCCTAAGATAAATACCACCCTTTACTATGCGGCTGCATCCAGGTTGCTATTATTTTGTCGAGGAGGATTTTTTCATCTGTACTTGTAAGATACTGTGTGTAGTATTCTTTTCCTACGGTGTGTCCGTGTGGCTTTGGTATCAGAGTAATGTTGGCCTCATAGAATGAGTTAGGAACTGTTCCCTGTTCCCTCCTCTTTTAGTTTTTGGTTTTGGAAGAGATTGAGAAGGATTGCTATTAATTCTTCTTTACCTAGTTGGTAGAATTTGCCAGTGAAGCTTTCTGGTCCTAGACTTCCGTGGTGGTTTTTGTTTTTCAGTCGACCGTACTTTTTAGAGCAGCGGTAGGTGTACAGCAAAACTGGGCAGCAGGTGCAGCATTCTCATATCCCCTCCCCCTCCCACCCCGCCCCCGCTAGCATCCCTCACCAAAGTGAGCAGAAGGTACAGCATTCTCATATACCCCTCCCCCCCTGCTAGCACCCCTCACCAAAGTGAGCAGAAGGTACAGCATTCTCATAGACCCCCTCCCCCCGCCCCGCTAGCATCCCTCACCAAAGTGAGCAGAAGGTACAGCATTCTCATATACCCCTCCCCCCCCGCTAGCATCCCTCACCAAAGTGAGCAGAAGGTGCAGCATTCTCATAGACCCCTCCCCCCCGCTAGCATCCCTCACCAAAGTGAGCAGAAGGTACAGCATTCTCATATACCCCCCGCCCCGCTAGCATCCCTCACCAAAGTGAGCAGAAGGTACAGCATTCTCATAGACCCCTCCCCCCCCGCTAGCATCCCTCACCAAAGTGAGCAGAAGGTACAGCATTCTCATATACCCCCCGCCCCGCTAGCATCCCTCACCAAAGTGAGCAGAAGGTGCAGCATTCTCATATACCCCCTCCCCCGCCCCTCCCCCGCTAGCATCCCTCACCAAAGTGAGCAGAAGGTACAGCATTCTCATATACCCCCTGCCTCTCCCCCCCCCCCCCCCGCTGGCACCCCTCACCAAAGTGGGACATTTGTTCGATCAACGAACCTACACTGACCATCATCATTCCACAGTGTCCATAGCTTACAGTAGGATTCGCTCTTGGTGTCGGAGGTTTTTGATTACTGATTTAATCTCTTGTCATAGGTCTATTCATATTGTCTGTTTCTTTTTGAGTCAATTTAGTCATTTTTGTTTCTAGGAATTTATCCATTTTATCTAGGTTGTTTAAATTGCCAGTGTACAGCTGTTCCTTTTTTATTTCAATGAGGTTGCTAATAATGTCCCCACTTTCATTTCTGATGTTAGTTATTTGTATCTTTTTTTCTTATTCAGTCTGGCTACAGGTTTGTCAATTTTGTGGATCTTTTCAGAGAACCAACTTTTGGTTTCCTTGATACTGTTGTTTTTCTATTCTCTATTTTGTTTATTTCTGCTCTAATTTTTATTCCATTCTTATCACTAGCTTTGGGTTTAGTTTTCCCTTCTTTTTCTAGTTCTTTAAGGTGTAATGTTAGGTTGTTGATTTGAGATCTTTTTTAAAATTCTGTTTAGTTTGATGAATTGTTATCTTTATTGTTATTATTGACACTTTTTTTTTTTTATCCTCAGCCGAGGACATTTTTTCATTTTTTTAAATTCAGATAGAGCGGGAGGGAGAGAGAGGGAGAGAGAGAAACATCGACATGAAAGGGACACATCGAGTGGTCGCCACCTGCATGACCCAACCAGGGCTGGGGACAAACTGCAGCCAAGGTACATGCCCTTAGGGGGAACCGAACCCAGGTCTCTGTGGACCACAGGCCGACGCGCTAACCGCTGAGCCAAACCAGCCAGGGCTTTATTGACACTCTTAAACCAGCCATTGCAGAAGTATGCTGCTAGTTTGAGGTTACAAGAGGGTCCAATTTCTTTTTTTTATTGTGGTAAAAATGTATATAAAATTGACTTTTTAAAAATGTACAACTCAATGGCATTGAGTACATTTATGTTACTGTACAACCATCACTACTTCCCATCTCGAGTTTTCCATCATCCTAAACAAAAAATGCCCATTTGGCCTTCCCTGGCCCACGGTAACCACTGTTCTACTTTCCGTCTCTGCTCTGATTACTTCAAGAGCCTCATATAAGTGGAGTCATACACTATTTGCCCCTTTGTTTCTGACTTCTTTCACTTAGTGTCAAGTTTTAAAGATTCATCCATGCTCTAGCATGTATCAGATTATCATTCCTTTTTTATTTTTATTTTTTAAAAATATGTTGTTGATTTTTAGAGGAAGGGAGAGAGAAATAGAAACCAATAGGAGAGAGAAACATCAATCGGCTGCCTCCTGCACACCCTCTACTGGGGATCCAGCCCGAAACCCGGGTATGTGCTCTGACCTAGAATGGAACCCGGATCTTTGTCCATGGGATGATGCTCAATGCACTGAGCCACACCGGCCGGACAGATTTTCAATCCTTTTTAAGACTGAATATTCCACTGCATATGTAGAGCGCATCTTGCTCATGCAGTCATCCATCCAAAGCACCTGTTACTTCACCTGTCAGCTATTGTGCGTAATGCCGGTGGGAACACCCGTGCACAAATACGTTTGCGTCCTTGCTTTCAGCTATTTTGGGAACCTACCCAGAAGTGGAATTGCTGGGTTATATGGGAATTTTGTTTACATTTTTGAGGAACTGCCGTACTGCCTGCCTTCCGTAGTGGCTGTACCATTTTAGTCCCAGCAGCAATGCACAAGGCTCGTTTTTCAGGCCCTTGCCTTGTTGCTGTGCTCTTCTGATGAGAGCCATCTAATGGCCTGAAGTGCTCAATCTGCATTTCCCTAATGACGGGTGATCTTGATCTTTCGATGTTCCTACTGGCCATTAGTATATCTTTTTTTGAGAAATGTCTAGTCCTGTCCTTTGCCCATTTTTTAAGTTGGGTCGTTTGTTTTTTGGTTGTTGAGGTGTAGTTGTTTTTTCTGGACACTGGACCTTTGTAAGAGAGATAATTTGCAAATGTTTTCGCCCATTCTGTGGGCTACCTTGTTATTTTGACTGTCCTGTGATGTATTAAACTTTTTAATTTTGATGAAGTTCAATTTATCTTGCTTGCTTGTTGTTGCTGCCTGTACTTCCGGTGTCATGTCTAAGAAATCACTGCCCAACCCGACGTCAGGAAACTTTTCCTCTGTTTCCTTCGAAGTTTCATGCTAAGTGAAACGGAAGGAAAGGCCGAAGAGTCAGTTGCAAATAGTGTAAGCTAGGTTTAGACTTGGACTGAAACACATCATTCTAGGGGGAAAAAGACAATATTGAATAAAGAAGATAGAGAAATTTATTGCCACATAAAATTTCAAATATAACTCCAATGAGTCAGACAAAAAAACACATTAGGTTGACATTAAAATATATTACAGTTTCACCAGATTTGTTTTTTGAAGATTTCTCTACTGACAGGCACTTCTGTAACCAATTAACATAATTTGGTATAAACATTTTATGGATAGTTTTAAAGGCCTATAAAAGAGTGTTTTGTGATTGTCCATCATAAACAATAATAGATATTACATAATATAAATTCATTGATGGATTTCATGTTTGAGTTTGTACAGTATTCTAGAAAGATCCTTTCTCCACCGTATTTCATAAATATCAAATTGGATATTTTTGTGGCTTTGCCAAAATGAGCTCACTAGTTAGAATCTGTTTCTTTTATATATGCCAGGCAGTGTCCATTCAAAAGATGGAATCCCCCGCACAAACCGACACGAGCACTTTTTGCTGAAGCACTTGTTACTGTGGTTGTAAAATACTTCTAGTTTTCTAGTATATCGCATTTATTTTTAAAATATTTGTCCCTTCACCTATAGTATTTCCCAAGCCCCCTTTCTAGCCCCCCACATAATTCACTGGAGAGGGAGAACACTCCTCCCCCGACTCCTCTGCCGATCACCGCTTTACAGCAGGTCCGAAAACCGGCAAGGGTGGGACAGGGACTGGTTTGGGCTCTGCAGCCGTGCCCTCCGCGCAGCTCTGCCTGCCTCCGGCCGCCCCATCTTCTAAGCGCGCCCACCACAGGCGAAGGCAGCCGGATGGGTGTGGCTGCAGAGGGCCCAGGCTCCAGTTTGCTGGTCACCGATTTCAATGATCAGAATGGCATCTGCTCATATGGGACAGAGCAACAGACACAACATAGGGCCTGAAGGAAGGGATATAATTTTTTCCATTTAGAGTCCTTTAGGACAAGCATTCTGTAATGCCTGGGAAGCATTCTCTACTTTAGAGATATCTGCATCATTTCAATCTTTTCTTACCCTGAGACATTTATTAGGAAAGGGTCATCTGAAGTCTAGTACATGAAACATCTTTGGGGATATGCATTATTTGAATAGAAAGCAGAGCACGTCTAACACTGTAGAAACCCCAGCCCCTGAACAGTAACGACTCTCGAGTAACAGGCACATGCCTGCAGCACGCGCCCAGCGGGACACGTTAGAGGACAGTGAGTTCTCCCTGGCAATTATTGCAGCAATTGAAAGTTATATCTTCATATCTAGTGTAGGGGTGGAATCGCCCAATGTTTTTCTTTGTAGCAAGTAAGGTGGTTGGTGAAGACGCAGAAAATGGATTGTCAGCTGAGCTCTCTGTACAGGTGACCGGGGCCAAAATGCGTAGAACCTAAGGCAAAGAAGAGGCAACGTCAGGCGTGTGCGGTACGGACTGTGAACCCCTTGATTTTACTGAGGTATAACTACCGTTAAGGTTCTATCTCATTAATATGTAACTACCATAAAAATAACATCTGAATAAGGAATTTGGCTGATGAGAAAACTTATTCTTTTTCTCAAAAAGCTCTAAATTTAATGATGTCTAGTCATTCCATTACCTAGTTTACCTTTTTTTTTGTTTTCTTATCCTCACCCGAGGACATTTTTTCATTTTTTGTTCAGAGTGGGAGGGAGAGAGAGGAAGAGGAGAGAGAGGGAAACATCGATGTGAAAGGGACACACTGAATGGCTGCCTCCCTCCTGCACGACCCAACCAGGGCTGGGGACAAACTGCAACCGAGGTACGTGCCCTTGGCGGGAACCGAACCCAGGTCTCTCTGGACCGCAGGCCGACGCTCTAACCACTGAGCCAAACTGGCCAGGGCTACCTATTTTTTTTAAAATGAAGAAGTTAAGGTTCTCTTGTGGGCACTGATGGAAAAGCATGAAAACACAGAAGAAATTAAGGTTATATTAACTCTGCCTTAAGTTATGTACATTTTTGTCCTTAACCAAAAAGCACACACTACTTTCCTTCTTTAGTCTTTCAACTGCTTAGAATCAGGACTCTACCTTGATTCTAGTGAAATCCTACTTCAAAGTTTCTGATCATTTACTTATAAAAAATCGATGGTTTTCCGTTTCCCCTTTACTAATTGATGCGCGATATTTCACGCTAGCCGTCACGTTCTTGTTTCTTGGGGTTCATGGACACCGTGCTCCCTAGTTCTTCTGCTCTGACTTCTCCTATTCTGCTTGCTTCCCTGAGACCCACGGCAGGAGGAACTCTGGGGCTGAAAGAATTCTCCAGGTGTAAGGGCGAAGATGACGTGACGAACTGGCTCACAGTTGCTGTTTCTCAGGTCACCTCCTCCCGACGGTCCTCGCGCGGTGAGGACGGGTCATGGCGGAAGGAGGAGGCAGTGCATCGGGAAAGGAGTGGGGAACACGCGGCTGCGTAAGCCAAGGGGAGAGAGTGCTCCAGAGGGGAGCAGCCGTCAGCTCCGCCAGACGCTTCCCAGCAGGGGGCAGAAGGGACAGAGGTGGTGAGTCCAGTTTCAGGCAGTGATTCATTTAGTGAGCAGCTGAGTACCTACTATGTGCAAAGATTATACCAGACCTTGAGGACACGTCGGACACAGCCCCTGCCCTTCGAAAGCTTACAGTCTGGGAGGTGGAGAATCAAACAACTGCAATCTTACATGTTAAAGAGCTGCAGTAAACATACAGAATACAGGGGTGCTCTCCCCCTGCATCCGGACTTCTGCAGCATTTGGTCACAGAAGTAGCAAGGGGACCAAGAAAGAGTAACGTGACAGAAGTGACATGTAGTGAAACACGACAGTGAAGCCATTAAACAGCCATGACCTTGGCCAGAGGACCTGAGAGCAGTGAGCAGGAAGTCCACTAGGACGAGCGGGGCAGGAAGTGGGGTGGGTGGTGTGAGGACAGACGTCAGCATGTCCGAGACCCGACTGTAGAGGGAAGGTGACAGCCACCTGGGAGCACTCGGGCCTGTTCTTAAGCCAAAGAGAGAGCAGTAGAGAGAGGGGGTGACTTCGGGGTGCGAAGGGGCTGAGCCAGCGGGGACACCTGCCCCGGAAGGGGCGGCCCGGGAGGCTGGTTGCCGTGCAGACAGGCTTCCAGGCCTCAAGTGGGACCTGGAGGGAGCTCCCTGCTCTGCCCCTTCCCTCTGCATGTAAGGAACCCGGCACCGCTCATGGGTTTGACGGGCACAGAAAGAAAGAAGACGCCGAACTGACGTCTGCAAGGCACCTGAGAGAAGGGCACGGGACAGGGCACTCCGGGCCGGTCTCGGTAAGCTACGGCAAGGAGAAAGCCGGGAGAACGAGCTGGTAGGATGAAGGAAAGGATGAAGGGATCAAGGGAATAAAAATCATGATGTGATCGGGGTGATCAGAACGAAGGAATCAGCTGGGGAGAAAAGTGGAGACCACAGAGCACCGCAGTGTCGAAGATTTTCAAAGTGACGCCGTGCTAGCTGATGACAAGGCCTCCGGCGGGAGCACGGAGCCAGGTACTGAAGTGGGACAGCCGTCACGCTGGCTGTGCCCGGAGCTGTGAGACCACGGGGTTCGGCAGGTGCCCTACGTGCAGCCTGAATTCTGCAGGATTCGGCAAGTTCACCTCCATATGTGGGAATGAAAACATTACTTCTTAGATCAGAGCAATCTGTTATCTACTCCTGATTACGGAATTAAAAATTCTACACAGTAGTTTTCATATCAAAATGAACTCAAGAAAAGGCTAAAAACTAGTCCTCTTTCCAAACAATTACATGCTTCTCCTTGAGAACAGAGTAAGTATATTCGAGAAAATGAACTCAGGAGGAAATAATTTCTTCAGGGTCACAAGCTCATTTGCACGAGAACCACGTTTAGAGTTCATATTCCTGAATTCCCGATGCCAAGCACTTTCCATGAGAACATGCCACCCATCAGTAAGAGGACAGGATGAGAAGTTCCACAGATGATGTAAAAAACATTTACCGTTTCAGCCATTTTTTCCGCTGGGGTGCTGCAGAATTCAGCTGTTGGCAGAATCTTTTTCTGACTGTTGGTTCCAACATTTCCCAGAAGATGAGAATATACTGCTTTTGCCAACTTGTGGTTTGTTGCTGCCAGTTCTGCTGTGCTGTGAGGCTGTGCGCTCGGGTAGTAGGTTTGCTCTCGGCCCCACTGCAAGGAGACCAGGAGCCCCTCCAGCAATCTGCAGAGCACACAGACACAGCATCAACCAGGGGACAAAGCAGACGAGCCAGGAACACTCAGTGAATGAGAAACACACTTCTGAAATCAGAGAACATCTTTCTCCCATAGCCCAGAAATCAGGAAGTCTGGTAAAATAAGTTAGATTACAGAAAGAACTTACCAATTTATTAGGTTGTTATCTAGAAATCACTTACTAGTACCTTTGGTTCTCATGTTTTAGTATAGATAGAACACATTCATCTACTCATTCAGTTGTATGAACTGCTGCTTTGATTTGTGCATCTATTGAGATACTCACATGGTATTTCTTTTCTGGTGAGTTCACTGCTTGGTTTTTGAATGACATACCAACCTACAATTCCTGGGCTAAAACTTCCTTGGACATGATGTAAAACCCTTTTTATACAGTCATGCTCCACCTAATGATGGGGGCATCTTCTGAGAAACAAGCTGTTAGACAATTCCATCACTGTGCGAACATCACAGAGTGCACTTGACACACCTAGGTGGTGCAGCCCATGGCTCGCCGAGGCTGCCCGGTGCGGCCCATGGCTCCTGAGCTGCAAACCTGCACCGCAGGTCCCTGCACAACAATGCTAGATTAAATCAAGCACCAGAGAAAATGGTGCAATAGAGTGACACCAGATAGATGAGGCTGCTGCGGGCATAAAGTGGCAGACTGTCTTACGCAAACTGTTGTTGTATAATACGTGGAAAGAGTACACTCTAAAATAATGATAACAAGTATAGCATAGGGAATACATAAACCAGTCACATAGTTATGTACGGTCACTGTCAAGGGCATGGGCTGTACGTATCGTGTGTGCCATGCTTTCCCGTGACGGCAGTGCATTCCGTTTGCTCCCACTGGCATCTCCACAAGCACGTGAGCCAACCTTACGATGGCTCCACGTCACCAGGTGACAGGAGCTTCTCAGCTCCATGATAATCTTATGGGACCACCATAGGTCTGTCACTGACCGAAACATCTTTATGCAGCACCTGACGGTATACGGTTGAATTTCATTCATTAAAATTCTGTTAAGGATTTTTGCATCTATGTTTATGAGAGAGATTGGTCTGTAGTTTTCTTGCAATGTCTCTGTCTGGTTTTGGTATTAAGACAATGCTGGCCTCATACAATAAACTGGATATTGTTCCCTACTTCTCTATTTCCGAGGAGAATTTATGTAAATTTGGCTTTATTTCTTCCTTAGATATTTGCTAGTCTTCACCAGTGGCCCTTTCTAGGCCTGGAGTTTCATTTACTGGGAGGTTTTTAACTACAAATAGAATTATTTTACTAGGTGATGCTATTTCAGGTTATCTTTGTTTGAGTACCCTTTGGTAGAGTGTGTGGTTTAAGGACTTTGTCCATTTCATTTAGGTTATTAAATGCATTGGCAGAGAGCTGTTCCCAACACCCCCATTATCTGTTTTTATGTCCATAGAATCTGTGATGTAGCCTCCCTCCCTCTCGCTCCTGATCTTGGTCATGTGTATCTTTTTCCTTGATTATACTAAGGTTTCTTAATTCTATCTTTTCAAAGAAGCAGCATTTGGCTTTATTTCATTTATTTCTGCCCTCACACTTTTTGTTTAATTTGCTATTTGTGTTTAAGGAGGAAGCTTAGATTGCTAACGAGACTTCTTTTCTAAGCTAAGCATTTAAAGTTATACATCTCTCTCTAAACATGCTTTAGCTGCCTCCCACAAAGTCTGACGTTTTGATATGTATACTGGGGTTTCAATCTTCCAAGTTCCCCTATGACTCCCTCTGTGACCTGCACTGACTGAATCTGCACTCCATCCATCACATGGAAGGACAAAGCACTTCCCGAGGACCACCGATTCCGCGAGTGCTGGTGCACGTGGCCACGACCAGCCACGCTAACAGCGCGGGGTCCTCACAGTGCCCCCCGCAGGAAGAACAGGACACTGGCTTCTCCCAAGAGTTACACAGAAGTGCTGCAAATATACTAAAAAAAGACTTTTAAATCCAGAGATTTCTTCTATTATAGATGTAACTAATTCTGTCCCCAATTAAGAACGTAAGAAGCACATCTTCTACTCTTCGGGCTCCCTCCCCCTCCTGGCATCCATTCTGAAATGCTACTTGGGCACATGCTCAGTAGTTCTGACGTGTATCAACACTACAGCAGGATGGCAGCTGACAGAAGCGCAGGGAGAGCAGAGGGCGGAGGAAACAGGGGCAGGAAAGGGCCGTACTTGTGGGTGGCGCTCAGTTCCTGGCGAAGCTGTTCCCGCTCACTCAGCAGGTCCTGCAGCGCGCCCTGGCTGTCCCGGTGCTGCCGCAGCAGAGTGGCCCTGGAGCTGGTCAGCTCGTCTGCCATGACCCTGGAAGAGATTGGGGCCCTCCCTATAAACGCTCTGACGGCAACACAGTGCAAAGGAGTTGATAGACAACCTTGGCCACTGTCATTTTCAAAGCTTACAGAGAAGATTTGACAGAGGCAAGTTACTTCTGTTTTTGAATCTTCACTAAAAAGCAATTCAAATGTTTATAAGCTGAGAACTCACTGAAGGAATTCAATTAAAAGATTCAAAAAATGACAAAGGACACTAACTTTCCTTATATATAGTGACTTTTAGAAAGTACCTCAATCTTACTCCAGGTTGACCAAATTTTGGAAAAAATAATATTAACCAAATATTTAAATACAAAACAATTTAGAGGAATTCTTTTCCTACCATCCAATTACCTCTTTGCTCTTAGAAAAATATTAAAATAATATAGAAAGGCTGCTGAAAATGGAAAACTAAGCCTTCCCTCCTATCAGTGTCCCCATCCTTTTATAGGTAACCAATAAAGTTTCTTATATATTTTTCAGAAAAAAATGTATGTACAGCCAACATAAAAGTAGCTGTTAAAAGTAAATATATTCTTTTTATTTACAAAACAGGGCTTATTTAATACTAGAAAGTATCACCGATATCAGGACACGAGGAAACACTTTCCTGAGAATTCATTCATCACAATCCATGGTTCTTAAAGTGCAGCCTGGGAACCTCTGGGTCTTGGAGACATTGCCAGATGGTGGGACTCATATCAAGTTACTGAGCACATTATGTTGGAACACTTGGCTGAGCGTGGGGAATGCACGCTGGACAACCCCGTTCTCCAGTAACGCCACGTCGGCGGGAGGAGGGGATGAACAGACGAAGAACTGCAATTTCCAGCAGTTCCTCCATTAGCAGCGAGTCCAGGGCCTGCTGGAGTGTAGCTGGCGTGTCGCCTCGTCCAGTGTGCCACCCACAGCTCGCCCCTCTAGCCTGCATGAAGAGGGCAGGTTGGGAAGCTCCATTACGTAGTTAAAGATTCTGAGAGCGAGAGCCAGGGTCCTGGCCGGTGTGGCTCAGCGGTTAGAGCGTCGGCCTGTGGTCCCGAGAGACCCGGGTTCGGTTCCTGCTAAGGGCATGTACCTTGGTTGCAGTTTGTCCCCGGCCCTGGTTGGGCCATGCAGGAGGCAGCCACTCGATGTGTCTCTTTCATGTCAATGTTTCTCTCTCTCCCTCCCACTCTATCTGAACAAAAAATGGAAAAATATTCTCGGGTGAGGATTAAAAAAAAAAAAAGATTCTGAGCGCGGAGCGTGAAGGACAAAAATGCTATCTTACTGAGCGGCAGTGACATTTGAGTTCTCCGGAAGCATAATTCAGTTTGTGTTATTGTGGTTTTAGTATTTACTAGATGTCTGAATTGACCATTATGTTTTGGTATTAAATGTTGCAGTAAGAGTGATTTCAACTACAGAGTAGTAACCCCGAATTCTGGAATGAGGGCGGATCCTAAGGTATCGCTTCTCCATTTACGGAGACTCTTTCCACCCACAGGAGGAGAGTCCACATCTTAAATAACACGAAGTACTTTAACCACCTGACTCAGGACTTTTCAGACTACGATCGACTGTTTTGTGTTATGGGTCAAAAGCTAATAGATCAAAAAACTAAAAAATAAAATACTATTTAAAATAGAACATACCTGCTCGCGAGGAATTTGCTTCGCCATACATCACACTGTATTGACATTCGTTCTAACTGCTCGGCCAGCTGAGCTGTGTTCTGACTTAGGGCTTCATTTTCTAAAATAAGCTGGTTTTTCTCACGGGCCAGACGTTCGAAGTGATAGGGAAGATCGTCGCCAACTGAAGCCACCAGGAGCTTCTTCAACTCCCGATTGACCTAGGAGAGCATGTGAGCGAGCAACAGGCTCAATGGAGTGTCAGTGACTACGTCAGTAGAAGAATGAACCAAAGAGAAACTGTCTTGTGTAGTTTGGACTCCATTACTTAAAGTATAGATCAAAAAGTGATATTGACTATTTAAGTTTCATAATCTACATATACTAACCAGACCTACCTCTATCCTTGTAGCCCATGTGGTTATAAACCAAGCTTCTTAGATTAAGAGCACAAGTAATTTTCATAAAAATAACAAACTGCTTCCAATCAATACTTAAAAGGGAAAAATTACACAACTAAAAAACACATTTTGTTAAAAAATATGACAGAGAATGTTTTGTGTGTGTGTGTGTGTGTGTGTTTTATCTTATTCAGCATTTAAATAAATAACTTCTTTGTGCCCTAGGATTTTTCCTTTTAAGAATTTCAGCGAAGGAAGCAATTCTTCACACTGACAGTGAAAACGCCAAGTTAAAATACAGTGTCCAATCACAAGTATCGGTTTATGGCTGTTGCTATTTGTAATAGAATATTCTGGGATATAAGAAAACATTAGCAACTAAGGTGGCACTATTTTCATTGCTTTTCTGTATTTTCCAAACTGTTTATAGATACTTTTACAATTAGAAATTAGTTGTTAAAAACACATTAAAATATATTTGGGCAAGAACCACTAACCACAGTGTCACAAAGACTAACATCAATTAGACATACTATAGTCTAATAGGGAAAAAGAGTGGAGGCTAAGGCAATGTTCACTAAGATGTAAAGATCAAAGAAACACAAGCATTATCGATTGTTTTCTATTTACAATGACGAGACAAATACTTATCCTACTATTCTCTATTCCAAGCATTATGTGTACATAGGCAAAAATACTTGGAATTTATGGATCCTTACAACACAGTTTGCTAAGGAGTCCGTTTCAAAGCCTGACTTGGTCCGTGTGTGGTGGGGAAGTTTACAACCGTACCCTCCTTTACAACTTCTAGGTGCCTTGTCTGAAGCACCCCCCCTCCCTCTTCAACGTGATTCAGAGTACTCGTTCCGGCTTAAACTAGCTCTGCGAGAGGCCCTGAGAAAACGTGAAAGGTAAGAGGAAGCATTCCGGAGAGGTGACAGCTACAGCAGTGACAGCTGCGCTCCCAGAGGCCCTGTCTCCTGACTGGCAGGCTGGGAAGGCAGGTGTGGACACCCCTGCAGCCTGCGGTGGCCCTACCTCCGTCTGCACGCGGAGCTGGTTGGAAAGACCCTCCCTGTCCTGCAGTAACCTCCTCTCGGAGCTCTGGAGCTTCTCCAGTGTGCTCTTCGCCTCTGCGGCCCCCTCCGACTGGCCAGGGAGCTCTCCTGTAGGGCGGCCCACAGGCTTCGCCTTGGCAGTTTTGTTGGGGACCACGTGGGTGATAGCAGCCTTGGGAACTATTATCCTCATGGCTTCGACCTCCACTGCTTTTTCCGTGGGAAGCTTCCCCAGCTGTAGGACACCCGGGCTCTGGGATGTGACGGCTTTCTTTCGTGGGCTCTGAAGGACCTGGGGCTTCCGAGGCTGGGCTCCAGGGGCAACTTCAACAGGCTTGGATGGCTCCTCAGTTTCCATTCCATCTCCCGCTCCTCGGACTGGGGTGGAAGTCAGGGTGACTGAAAAAGGGAAAACAATCTAAACTACTTACTGAAAAGAAGTACCAGGAAAATATCAAGACATGCCTTACTCTACATGCAGAATTCCTGGCATTCCAGAGAATAGAAAAATTCAGATTCAAAAGTAATTTTCAAAACACTGGTGTGTCAAAAAAACACGAACAATGTCCTACAGGTTCAGGCTCCCTTAAGTAAATGGTTTCTCTCTCGGCAGAAAAGGCAGGAGATTCGGAATCAGGGTATTTGGTTCTGACTCCTACTTCCTGGTATGACACTAGGTAATAGTTCAACCCTCCATGAATCTGTTTCCTAGCCTGCAAATGGAGACAGTGACTGCCGTGCTACGGGCTGTGGTCGGAAAGAGCCTGGCGCACCCGAGACACGCAGTAACGGTAGCAGCTGTACAAACTAAGTAAATACCAGCTACATATGTGCATGTCTGAAGCCATCTCCTTCAAAACAGATTCATCTGTAGTGTTTTTTTAACTCTTAGCAAAGAATGCTTCGCACCAACTTCCCAACTGGATTATTCAACACTCTCTTTCCCAGGCCTCTGATCTTTTTTCCTGCTATATCTTATTCTCTTAAATGGTTTTTTTTTTTTTGCCACTCACTGTGGTTCTTAAGTCAGCTTATCCCTAAGAAGTCAGCTTCAACTCTATTCTTTGCATTAAATCTTCCCAATTGTTGCGGCCCACTCCCTGAAGAATACCTATGGTTCTTAACTGTCTCAAATAATAGTTTGAAATTTAATCATGAACCAAAGTTATCCTTTTAAGGGTTCTGTACATGCTAACCTCGCTAACCTCACTTTCCCAGTAAGTCTGATAAGCACAGTAAGAGCAGACATGCCGCCCTGGCCAGTTTGGCTCAGCAGTTAGAGCGTCGGCCTGCAGTCCAGAGAGACCCGGGTTCGGTTCCTGCTAAGGGCATGTACCTTAGTTGCAGTTTGTCCCCAGCCCTGGTTGGGTCGTGCGGGTGGCAGCCACTCGATGTGTCCCTTTCATGTTGATGTTTCTCTCTCTCTCTCTCCCTCACACTCAATCTGAACAAAAAATGAAAAAAAAATGTCCTCCGGAGAGGATTAAAAAAAAAAAAAAAGAGCAGACATGCCCTATACAAGGGGGAGAAACATGGTGTTATAGAAATGATAGGAGTTTTGGCATCAGCCAGATCTGGCTTTGAATTCCATTTCCACTATTACTGCCTAGACAAAATCCTCTGATGATCTCAGCTTCAGTTTTAACTTCCATGGAATTAAATTTAATATATTTACATCTAGGTAGTATTAAATCTGAATATTAAATGAGAAAATATTAATAACAGATGACCAACACTTACAAAAGACTTAAATGTGCCAAATACTATTTTAAATACTTTACACACAACTCCTTTAACCCTTACCCTAACCCTGTGAGGTAGGTGCGATTACCTGTATTTTATACGGGAGGAAAATGAGGCACCTGGAGGGGCAGGAACTTGCCCACGATCACACCACACTGCTAGTAAGTTGAAGAGGCAGAAGTGAATTCTAAGTCGTCTGTCCACAAAGACTGGGACCTTCCCCATTGCCTATACTGCCTTTCAAGAGTTCTTGAAGTTCAAGTTCAGGTACCAAGTGTCTGGCACAGAAGTAAATAGCAGGCATTCAATAAATGACAGCACCCATCCCTGTCCTCCATAACGCTCAGTACACTGCTGCACGCATGTTTACCAACCTAATTTGATCAACTGGAATAAATTATCTTCCCTTACAGAAGCCAAACCTGGCTATCTATCTATCAACTTTTGGAAGGCAGCTCTGTTCACCAGCACAGCCATTATTCCAGTCAAATAACAAAAATAGTTGTTTCTTTCCCCTCCTTTGTTTTAGCTCCAACTACTGCCTCATCGACCTGAACTTAGTCTCTGCTAACAACCTGCCTGCCAGGCCACAGGAGCCCACAAACTGGTATCACAGTTGTAGTGAGCTTGAAAAATCATGCTGAACTGACCTGCATCAAACCCTTGCATGGCCCCCCATCTCTCTCAAAACAGAGCAAGATCCTTAACACGGTCGCCTGGTCCTCTGAGAACTGGCCCCTGCCCGTCCGCTGGGCCCCACTTCTGCCATTCTCCCCTCAGACCCTATGTTCCAGCCTGGCTTGTTTTCTTTTGGGATCTCAATAGCAGCAAAAGCCTTCGTTCCTCTGCAGATATTTATCTGCTTGGAATTCTTCCTACCGCCCTCTCCCCTACAGTGTGAATCCTACTTATCTTCAAATCTCAGCTCAACCCTTCTCCCCAAGGGACTCTGCCTAATGCAAACTGAACTATCGCTGAGATACTGTGGCATTTAAGAAATAATGTAGAATCATGAATTAACTGCAGATTTCTTTTTAAAGAAAAACTAGAGCTCTACCATTCAGGCTCACTGAAGAGGAAGAAATAAACACTCTGTCATGGTTAAATAGGGTTTCTAGGCAAGTCAGAGTATTTTTAAAAAATTTATCTTTATTGTTGAAAGTATTACAGATGTCTCCCCCTTTCCCCTCCATTGATCCCCCCTCCCTGCTCCCACTCATCCTGACTTCCCCATACTGTTGTCTGTGTCCATGGGTTATGCATATATGCATATAAGTTCTTTGGTTTATCTCTTCCTGTCCCCCTGTCCCTCCTTCCCTCTGAGGTTTGTCAGTCTATTCCTTATTTCCATATCTCTGGATCTGTTTTGCAACTCAGAACATTTTTGAGTTGCAATTTTAGGTAATGGAGATTCAAAAACACATCACAAAATGACTAATGATAAATTTAAAAGGCAAAGAAACATAAATGAGTGTTGAATAGAAATCTTTTTCAAACAAAATACATCAAAGTTCCAACCAAGAAATTCAATCAGTGTGGTTCAACCACAGTTTACTCTCAGCTGTATTTTGGCTGTCCTACTTTCCCAGTGCTCAGGGCTGCCAGGGCTGCCGTGTACCCGTGGCAGCGCCCTCTGCAAGGACGAGGGCCTGGCGCACAGGCACCGCAGGCAGGCACGGGGGTCAGGGCTTCACACTTCCTCACCCGGCAGCTCACCTTTCATAATTCCATTCTCCTCCCGCCGCACAGAAACCTCTGCTATGCGCGCACTCGGCACAATCCAGGCCACATTCACGAGCAATCGCCTGCTCTCAGGTAGGAGGACCTGATGTGTGCTGCGAGTGCCATAAGCGTGAGTAACGCTTCCGTAAAGCAAAACATCAACCCTGCTCGTCTCCATACTTTGAAAGGAACTAATAAAATAATTTTTCAATTATTCACCAACATCACTTCCATCTGTGATCATTTATCAAAGATTTAAACATGTCTAAGGTTTCTGGCTTATTCTTAGTGCCTCCCCCAAGGATGGTAAAGAAAAATAATATTCTACAATAGGGGTTGGCAAATTTTTTCTGCAAAGGGCTGGATGATAAATATTTTAGGCTGTGTGGACCATGAGACAAAATTAGCATATTATATAGGTACTTATATAAGGAGGGAAAAAACCCCAAAATGTTATAGACCAAGGGTTCTCGAACGACCCTTTTACAGGGGTCGCCTAAGACATAACAGTAGCAAAATTACATTTATGAAGTAGCAACAAAAATAATTTTATGGTTGGGGGTCACCATTACATGAGGAACTGTATTAAAGGGTTGCGGCATTAGGAAGGTTGAGAACCACTGTTATAGATGAAATTCAAACTCTAATAACTAAGTCAAGTTTTTTTGGTAATATAAGTCTAGTAATGAGAAGAACAGAATTCTATCTTATTTGGGAAAACACTTGGCTTCAGTGGGATTCAGTCAGTGCTCCCTATGATCAAACTGATTGCAAAGGTTCATGGGAGGCCTGAGGACCCTAACTTCCAACCCCCAGCAAACCAATGCAACAAGAAAGAGGTCTTTTATGCCTGCTTATTGTTTGTCCATTCTCTTGTTTAATCTTCTAGTGGAGAAGACATAGCTGTAAAACTTTGCTTTTACACTAGATGTTTAACAGTAGTTGTCCCCTCATAAACAGTAGCGAATGGTGCTAATTTGCAGCTGTGTATCTGAAGCACTAACATGTAAACACTGCATTAGAAAACACATAAAGAGATCTGACACAGAGGTGATTCCTCAGAGCTCTATGATACTCACCTGCCTCAAACATTCCTTCACCCTATTGTCATAAATATCATGTTTTAAAACAATTACCATCAAAAGAAGACTTACCTTTAGTTTCTAAATTCTCAAGAGTAGTCATTTTTTAACCAATGAAAATGCACCCCAAGACTTCTACTGAAAAACCTAAAAATGGAAAAAATGAAAGAATTGAAATAATATTGCATAAACGTATTCACCAAGACCCTGTTAATTCAAATATGATATTCTACTTGCTTCTGTATTTACTAACATGCATTTAGAAAGGGAGTATCCCTCATACCCCCTTTTTAACAGGTGATATTGTTAATGCTACCAAATGTCCCAAAATAAATAATCAGCCCTGGCCGGGTTTGCTCAGTGGTTAGAGCCTCCGCCAGTGGCCCAAAGAGTCGAAAGTTTGATTGCGGTCAAGGGCATGTATCTGGGTTGGGGTTTGGTCCTCCTCCCTGGTCAGGATTGTGCAGAGGCGGCCAATGGATGTGTCTCTCTCACCAGATCCCCTCCCACCTCCCACTCTATCTGAAGATAAATGGAAAAATATCCTCCAGTGAGGATTATTTAAAAAAACAAAAACAACAACAACAACAAAAACACGTCGGGGGTAGTATTTCTGTTTTGCCGTCCTCACCATCATACTCTACATGATTGGACTTGTCCCGAATTTTAGTTCACAAACAGGGCTTCAGCTAGGGCAGGGGCTCTTGCATCATTAATATGGCAAGGGGACTTTTAAGGGAATTAGAGTCATTACTTTCTCCGGAGGCATTATCGACACCAATCTGTTCACTGTGTGTATCAGAGAGGGGCTTCCGTTTAGATGTTTGACCAACAGTCGATGTGCACTTTCCCAGCAGTAACATTACAGTGGCGCAGCAGGGCCCTGCCGAAGGGCACGCACGGCCTACAGCGCGGACTAAGACGCACTGGAGGGCGGACAAGGTGCCATCACCGCCCCGTGAAGACGGGGGTGACCGCACGGCGGAGGGCTACTCTCGCCGCCAACATGATCCCTCTGAGGACTCGCTGTCCCTCGGCCCGGGTCTCCCACGACTAGTTGCAGAGCAGCCACCAACTCCCCCTCCAGTGCCCTGGAAACAGGTCCCCGAAGTCCCTTCGATGGAGCAATGGGCCCGGACACCGCGCCGAGACGGGCAGAGTGCAAACAGCCCAGCACCGCGCGGAGGGGTGTGGGGTGAGCGGGTGACCGGCGGCAGGTGAGGAAGCGACCGCCCGTCCGCCTCTGCCGCCCCGGGGGTCGTATCCGAAGCTCCGGGCCGTCCCGCGAAGGCGTGAGCGGCGAACTCCCACCCGCCCGCCCGTGGACTCACCGCTGCGACGCTCACTCCCTGCTCCGGGGGCTGCTCTCTCCAGGCGGGTCGGCTCGGAACCAGCGCTTCACTTCCCCGCCCAGGCCCCTTGCATCCGAGCCGCCCCGCCCCGGCCTCCTGACGTCAGCGCCTCGCTCTCCACTACTCACTTCCGCTGGATCGCCCCGGGTTCCGCTTCCGGAACGCGTTTCCCGAACAAGTGGGCACACGCGCTCTGCGGCGCGTTTAACGCCAGTAACGCAGACCCTGCGGCGCTGGCTCCGGTGACGGCAAACTGGACGGATGCTTATTTTAAAATAAACCAGAGACCATTTGGACCCTCGCCGGATATTGGCTTAAACTTCCGGGTCACCGGTCAACCAAACGGAAGTGACGACCGTGGAAACAGGTGGGTCATGTTCCGTCGCCCCGGGCCACGGCGTCAAGGGGCGGGTCTGTCGGCTAGGTGGGCGGAGCTTCGATTACTCCCGGCCAATAGAGACGAGAGAGCGGGGCTTTGGCTTCCACGCTGCGTCCATCAGTAGGCGGGGCTCTGTTGCCAGAGTAACCTGGCGTCGTGTTGGTGCTGGCGTCTTCCTGTGGCGGTAACAACACGTATTTCCTCGGGCTGAGCTCCTGAGACGATGGTGAGTGCCAGGCGAGGCCAGAAGAACGGCTCCGGGCTCCTGGTGACGCGGCGTCCGGGTCCTGGGGCGCAGGGCCCTCGGGGCGTCCCCGGCCCTGCTCCTTCGCCCCGTTGTCTATTTGGTGCTGCCGAGCCCCAGAGTCACGTAACGGAAGTGTAGGGGGTCAGACACTGAGTCTGACAGCCTGAGTGAAGCATCATTCCGAACAAACTACTTAACTGTTTTGATGTTTCAGGGTCTCGGCTTCACCTTAGCGAGTTGCATTTAAGAGGATGGGGTGGTGTGCACGTGACTGCCCGGGTCTCCCCGGCTGGCGGAGCCCTGCCCTGCACCCTTTCCAAGGGCCACCTAGTAATAGCCAGTTGGTTCCTTCCGGCCTCCTGCTTTTTAGCAGGAATGCTCCCATCTAGATAATTTGATGAGCCTGTGGGAAGTTCACTTGCTTGAGCGTCACCCCCAGAAATTCTGATGTAATAGAAATAGGGAGCAGGATGGGCATGTTTTCAAACGCCTGCAGGTGATTTTAATTCACTTCCCTGCTTGGGAGCACCAGGGTTCTTAATTCACGTGATTACCAAATCTTTTCAACATTTGTGAATAATGGACCGGAGGATGGACAGTTGACTGTTGTCAGGTGGATACAGGTATGGATTTAGCAATAGAGCCTCACTCAGCACCCCTTCTTTCTTGATTACTTCTACGCAGCAGTCCTTTTTGTTACCCCCATCCGCTCCTGCCCTTTTCCTGCCTGTTCAAGCCTGCCACTCCCCTTTCTTCTGTTCCAAGCAGATGACAGTGGAACAGTCAGTGTCTTCAGCCTTATGCCCCCAACCTACATGTTGGTCTATATTTTTATCCACCATTCAGTCTTGTGTTTCTCCGTTAGAGAAAGAGGTGCTGAAGGATAATACATCCATCTTTTCCTTAGATCTCATTTCTTCCCGTTCATGACAAAACCTTTTGCTTTTCTCCTTTTTTCCGGCGAGTTTAACCTTTTCCCCTCCATTTCCTGCTCCTCAATGTTAAAATCATATATCTTAAGAAAATGAAATGAGACAAAAGAGCACCCTCCACCTTGTGTTTCTTCGCAGTTCTTCCATCTATCAATTTGTTGTCTGACTTTCCGTCTTTGTGGCTTCAGTGAAGTTTCTCTTGCTTAAGTGTCTAACGACCTTTTTAGTGCTAAATCCAGTAATTACGTCTCAGTTTATTTAGGCTTCTCTGTAACAACTGGAAGTCATGGTCACCCCCCGCCCCCAACACTGGCTTCGCCTGCTTTTTAAATGCCGTCTCTGAGACTCACCCCCTTAAATAATTTCCCTTCTTAGTCTATACATTTTCCTCGGGTGTTTTCATGCACACCCACGAGTTCTCCCAGTGCCTAAGCTCTCATTCCTCAATTTCAGTTTTCATCTCAGACCTGCTGAGGCCTAACCTAGGTGTTTCCTGAACATCTCTACCTGGTTACCCACACATGCCCCTTATAAACTCCATAAGACCAAACTGGACTTGCTGTCTTTCCACCCGGTTTCTTGTTTCCCCAAGTTAATGCATGAAGCCGCTGTGTTACAGCCAAAACCAGAAGCCGGCGTTGTCCTGCAGCCCGTCCTCGCCCGTGTGTCCTACATCCAGCTGGTCCGTAATCCTGTTCAGTGCACGATCCCTCATTTCTTTCCGGGACTGTTGTAATAGCGTCATTAACAGTCTGGTCTGACAATCCCCCAACCCATTGTTTTCTCTGCCATGAGAAGGAATTTTCTAGAACCCAAATCTGTTGGTGTTACCTCTTTACAACTTTAGACTCCCTATTCCCTACCATATACAATTCAAAGCTTCCGGATGGCACACGGGCCCTATGTGATCTAGCACTTAACCCGTCTGCCTCCTTTCACGCTGCTCCCTTTCCTAGACACTCCTTGAGCCCCCTGCTTTCTAGCTGCTTGCCTTTCATTGGACATACCAGGGAATCAGAGCTGGCAGTGAGCTTGTGCTCCTACTTTGCATGAGTGAGTCCTTTGCTGGGAATATTATGCAGCATTATTTTTAATCCTCACTCTAGGATATTTTTCTGTTTATCATTAGATAGACTGAGAGGGAGGGATGGAGGGAGGGAGAGAGAGAGAGAGAGAGAGAGAGAGAGAGAGAGAGAGAGAGAGAGAGAAAGAAGGAAGAGACAAACAAACATCGATGTGAGAGAGACACATCAACTGGTTGCCTCCCGCATGACCTGACCAGGGCCAGGGATGAACCACAACCGAGATACATGCCTTTGACCGGAATCGAACCCGTGATTTATTGGTCCACAGGCCAACGCTCTAACTGTTGAGCCAAACTGGCCAGGGCTATTATGCAGTATTTAAAGAGAATGTGCTCACCTAGACAGATGAGTTTTTTAAAGTGAATTTTGTCGAAGAATATTTCTAGTTGACAATTTACGTGGAAAAAAAAAAGTCATTGTCAAGCCCAATGTTGAGTTTTTCCTGTACATTTTACAGTTTTGGGAAGATATGGTTTAAGTCTTTTATCCATTTTGCGTTCATTTTTGTGAGTTATGTAAGACTGAGGTCCCATCTCATCGCCCATCCTTTTTCACCAGTAATTCATTCATTCAAACAAAGATTTATTGAGTGTTTTCTGTATGCCAAGCACTACCTATACACTGATTGATAAAATAGCCAACAGTGGCTCCTACCCCATAGAACTTCTTGAGAAAAACAGATACTAGAAAAAAAAAATCACAAGTATAATTTGGATTACAAGGTGAAGTAGAAAAATATAACAAAACACAGTGATCTGACCTCGCCTTGGGGTGGCTAGGGAAAGCCTGCTAGGTGCTGTAACTTTTTAATTCTTTTCTTTCTTACTTGGGGAGACATATATGTAAACAAAGGAATGAATTTGGTCACCTCATATGGTACTAAGCATTGTGGGGAAATCACACCACGCAATATATAATGGCAGCCTCCAGAAACGGGTGGTCTTTCGTGGGACCAGCAGGGAAGGTCCTCATGAGGAGGTAACTCTAGAGCTGAGATCTTAAGCAGGAGCTGGCCAGGCAGAGATCTAGGAGAGAAGCGTTACAGGCAGAGGCAACAGCAAGGGCCCGGGCTGGTTAGACGGAGGAACAGGAGGGAGTCAGTGTGGCCGGGCCTGGGGAAGGAGGCGAGGACGGGGACAGGAGAAGAGACCCGAGAAGCTCCAACTTTGAAGGATTGTGGGTTTCATTCTAAACGCAGTGGGGTAATACATTCATATGTTTTTTCTGTTCCATCAAGACATTTTATTTTCTTTAGATCTGCTTATTTAGACTTCAGCCATATTGGTTGGGTCTTTTTGTGCTTGTTTTCATTCTACCTGAAACATTTATGATCTTATAAACTTAGGAAGATTTTCTGGGTAATGCTTTTATCTTGGAAGATCAATGATTCCTAATTTCTCCCCTTATAATTGGCTTTTCACAATTTAATTGCCCTTTTGGGGCCTTTCGTTTCCATAATATCTTCGCCGAGGTTCCGGAGCTGCACCTTCCAGGTAGGTGTGCGCCCCGTTCGACATGGCATCATGTGTTCTGCACCCCGTTCGACATGGCATCATGTGTTCTGCTGCGATTTCACCCAGGGCCTTCTTCTGATGGTGCTGTCACCTGAGACTGAAGTACCTCGCCCTCCAGAAATATCTCCAACACTTCCTGTGAACTCATATTCATTTTCCTGCAAAAGCTGTCTAAACTACCTCAGTTTCGAAAGCTGTTGACATTGTAGGACTTTCTGTTAATTCGATGTGAGAAAGTGTAGCTATTAAATGTATTGCTCAGTCTAAGTTTATTTTCTGATACCAGGCACTTTGTCTAATTAAGTTGCTGTTCTTTCTCCTGATTCCTCTTACGCACCGTGCCTTCTCCATATTGCTTTATGCAGAATGGTCTGTATTCTCTGATATATGTTAACTTAAATTTCACCCTCTGTTTTTCATAGTTCTCATACAAGCTAAATAGATATATGTGCTAATACATATAAATATATATGCTATATGCGTACATGTGCTATACACATATATAGTATATGTATTAGTTACACTATAAAATATATATGTAGCATATAATATACAAAACCATGTATAGCACATATATATTTATATCTGTATCAAACAGTTAACTTACTCTGTTGTAGAAATATAGTCATTTTTGCTCACACAAATCATGCATCTGTAATCTTGAAGACAGGATTAGGATTAAGCTCAAAAGAGACTGAAGTTTGGAGAATTTGCAAGGGTAAGTTAATGAAATGAATGCAACGGTTAAAAAATTCTTTTACATGCACACCCCACACACAGATTAAACTATTTTTTTATATCGCAAGGAAAATATTCTTGAAATAGTTTAACCAAATTATAAAAATAGTTTTTATTTATTTAATCCTCACCCGAGGTCATTTTTGCATTTTATCTTTAGATAGAGCGGGAGAAAGAGAGGGAGGAAGAGAGAGAAAGAGAAACATCAACGTGAGAGAGACACATCAACTGGTTGCCACCCACACGACCCTAGCTGGGGCCGAGGACAAACTGAACCGAAGTATATGCCCATAGTAGGAACCAAACACGGGACTCTCTTGTCCGCGGGCTGATGCTGGAACTGCTGAGCCAAACTGGCCAGGGCAAAAGTCATTGTTTTTCATTGTTTAAAACCGTGCTGTGCAATTTCTTTGATGTTAGAAAGCAGGTGACGAGCATTTATCTTCCACAAGAGAAGCTGTTTGAACCTGATAATTTCTGCAGTGGCTAAAAAAAAAACGCTTTAAACTTATGTGGGGCTTTTTTCTTTTTTTTGAAGGAAGGATAAAAAAACAAAGACAAAACTCAGATTAGGTCATTTTTCTGTAGCAGGTGAGAGAGAAATGAAATTGGTGACTGGAGAGGGATACATTAAAAACCAAAAGAAACTTATTGACATAAACCAGGATGGGAAATCTATTTTTCTTAATTGTTAATATTTATCATTTATT